TGTTCATGTTTTTTACTTTTCATTTTATATTCCAATGCCTGTTGATCTTCGTAACTGGCACCAGGCAGGCTGTTTTATTCATTCCTTGGTCATAAAATTAATTTTCATCCTCCAAATGTTTATTTTTTTCTTTCTTTTTTTTTTTTTTTTAAGATTTATTTATTTATACAAGCACTGGGTACAGTCAGAAGCGCATGAGGGTGAGAGAATTCACCAGGGCCAGAGACGGGAATAGAATAGGCAGACTGACAAAATACACTGCTGAGGGGAGCAGCGAGGCGGCAGGAGAGGTCTGTCACGCCATGTGGGACCCTTACCGGTGGCCGGGAATCGAACCAGTGCTGCAGAAGCTGCAGGCAGCTTCACAGTCCAGCATTCAACTGCTGCGCTACCAGGGGAGGCCCTCCAAATATTTCTTGTTCCTTTTCTTCCCTAAGCAAAAACCAGTTCTCATCTCAGCCCAACAGGGTTTCTTTCAAGGACCATTGATGGCTTCCCTCCTGGGTATTCCTCAATCCTATCTTTAGTTTCAAGGGTTTCATTACTAATACCCTGAAGGCAGCACATGGGCTTCAAAGGAAATGCCTATACTTGATTTTGGCCCAATTTATGGTAATATGATTAAAGAGAAAAACCGCATTATGGTGGACAACCCCTACATGGCCCCCTGATCTCCACTGCTGGTGGTCAGGTAGTTGTGAAATCTCTCTGCTAGGATGGGGGTGGGACCTGCGTCTTGCTTCCAACCAAGATAACACAGCAAAGAAGATGGAATGTGTGTGACCCAGGTATGCATTTATGTTACAAAAAACTGTAGTAATCTCTGTCTTGCGAGGAGGTGCCCTCCCTGCTGGCTTTGATGAAACAAGCAGCAATTTGAGGAGACTCACAAGAAAGTTGACAGCCAGCAGGAAGTGAACTCAGCCCACAAGCGTCTAGGAACTGAACACTGTCAACAACCACACGAGCTTAGAAGTGGATCCTTCCCCACTAGAATCTCAAATGGGACTGCAGCTCTGGCCAGTACCCTCACTGCAACTTTGTGGAGTCAAACAAAGGACCATGCTATGCTCTGCCATATGGCTGAGGTACAGAAACCATGAGATAATAAAATTGCATTTGTTTTAAGCAACCACATTTGTGGTAATATTGTTATGTAGTAATAGTTTAGTAAATACAAAAGCAAATAGAGAAAGAGGAAAGCAGCACCTAGCACCTGAACATTAACCTGGTATTCTCAGTAAGACCATGATTTTGCTGGAAGCTGGCATGCTCTCATACTTGCCCTTGGTGTTAAACATGAACACCATGAATTTTAAGATCTCACATGACAAGATCATAAGATCAAGGCAAGTACATGGTCACTCTAATGTCTGAACATGCACAAAAACCTAAACATTGTGCAAATCCCACACACGCCCAGACATCCCCTATACTGGCTAATGTGAACACAATTTTACCTGTGAGTCATTCTCCTGTTGTTGAAAGGGCTTATTTAGATACCCATTTACTGAACTGACCATCCTTAAAAGAATCCAACAAAGACCAAAGCCCCACTTCCTTGAACCTTGCTCCAAATCACCTAACACATACTAGAATCATTTTTTTTTTTTTTTGGTGATAGGTTCCCCACTGGTGTGTGATCTCCCCTACAAGCAGCAACAATCCAACTTGATCTTAGTGGTGTGTGGCTGGAGGATATTGATAAAATAGTAGCAAGTAAGTAAATAAAGCAAACAAGAACAAAAAAACAAAACTTTATCATGGAACCTACATAAAATAGAAGCATAAACTAATAAAGCAAGGAGTTAGTCTACAACTTAAATCTGACATAAAACACAAATACAGTATCTCCAAATGAGTATAAAAATTATGTGATAAATGATATTAGGGTAAGTGGATAGGAGTAGGAACACTGAGGCAGATCCACATTTTAGATTAAATAAAACTGAACTCTACATAGGTTAAGGAATCAGACATCAGTAATAAGAGGTATACTGAAATGTAATGGATTATTTATCAGATGCATGGAAAAATGATGACTCTTATCATTTGAAAACAATTAACGAAGAAAAAGATTGACCAATTTAGGGATTAAATTACTTGCATATAATAAAAAGCAATCCAAAACTAAAAGAATAACCTAGGCAATATTTTGCATTATAGTGACAAAATACTTAAATCTAGAAAAGAGACTATTCAAATTTATAAGAAAAAGAGATATTCAAAAGGTAAGCAAAGGCTATAACTAACTGATGGGTCATATAGAAGAACCAGAAAGAGCAAACAAAAACAAGGAACCTTGTGGTCCAAAGAGGTGCCACTTTATAGTTACTAAGGTTGCAAGGGAGATACAAGAACAGTCAGAGCTGGAAATGTTGGGACCACACCCATATCAATAAGCATGTCTTATATTATTACAACTTATTTTCAAAGCAACACAGAGAAGTCCCAGCCTTATGATCAATGCTTATGGAAGCTTTTAGTAGAAACTACTCGGATTTTGTGATAATGTCATCTACAATGGCAAACAAACAACATAGAAGCCTTACATTAGGAGAATAGTTAATGAATTGTGCTGTATTAAGACATGGATTACCTAGCATTAAAATAATTGTGGAGGCTAGAAACATGGAAAATGCTGGGAGTTTGATGTGACAAGAAAAAAACCGCAAACTATAAAACATAAATGAAGGAGACCATTGGTGAACAGCTGTAACGTGCCAGGGACTGCTTTACTTCACAACATCCTGCCAGGAAAGCAATATCATTCCCATTTTATAGATAAAGACACCAGGGCAAAGAAAGGTTAACTAAATTGGCCAAGTCACACAAGTGGGAGGGTAGGAGAGACAGATATGAATCAAGATAAGAGTCCATAATGCTGTGCTGTTCCTTACACTGTTCTGCCTTTTATACATACGTGATGATTACAACTAGGTACAGATCCAGGTATCTGGAGAGAAACACTGGGGGATAATATGCAAATGTGAAATAATCACAATATGGCAGTAGGATTAAAGGCAATTTAATTAAAAAAATCATCATCATTAATATTATATGATCTACTTAATGCACAATGAACTCTTGACCTAAATTCTCCCTGAGAAGTTTAATTATGTATGTCCTTGGAAAAAGATCTGTCCAAAAATACTTCTATTAATAATTTTACTCTTTTTGGGCAGAAAAGAATGTAAGCAGAGAACAGTCCAAGTTAAAGAATACAAGAATGCGTCACTGAAGACTGAGTCATTCTACAGTGAAGAATGTGTCATTCTCACAGTGGTGAGAAGGAAAGTCCAGGGGATGAGCCCCGGGAGAAACAGGACAATACAGTGCTAACTGGGGGACACAGGTAAGCATCAGGACTCCCAGACAAGCAGAGGCCTGGGAAGGAGAGGGTGTTACCAGCCACAGGAGGGTCTACTCACTTGCTCTCCCTCTTATCTGCTTGCACTGGGCAAGTATGAAAATAAAAAATCAAGGTCTCTAGAAATAGCAGTGAGTGTGCCTTTTTCCAAAAACCCAACTCAGCAATGCTATGTGGCAACATAAGGGCAGGTATAGATGCTCACTCTTGCCACTCAGGTGCATGTGCTGACAGCAAACAAACACACTTTCTTCTGAGGAAAGTGAATTAATCACTGCACCAAAACGACATCTTCAAGTCTTTAGTTTATTTTTTTTATTTTTTTTTTTTATTTATTTATTTGTTTATACAAACACTGGATACAGTCAGAAGCGCGGGAGGGTGAGAGAATTCACCAGAGCCAGAGCGGGGAGCAGAGCAGGCAGAAGGACCGAAGTACACTGCTGAGGGGAGCAGCGGGCCGCAGGAGAGGTCTGCGCGCCATGTGGGACCCTCCTCCGGTGGCCGGGGAGCAGCCGGGGATCGAACCGGCGCTGCAGAGGCTGCGGGCAGCTTCGCAACCCAGCGCTCAACCGCTGCGCCACCGGGGAGGCCCTCAAGTCTTTAGTTTATTTGTACTTTTAGGATAATCTGAATCCTTCTCTGGTCAAATCTCAGTTGACACTTTGACCACTGTCACCTTTTCTAGATGGCACATGGAAACAGAGATACTTTGGATCCTATGAAAGTTTATTTGCAAGCACATATTAAAAAGCACTGACTGGGGGAGGGGCGGGAAACAAGAAAGCGCCACCCCCAGACACTCTGAGCCATTCTCTCACTGTAATGCTTAGAAGGCCATTGTGGTGAGAGACAACCCCCTACTGTGTTCATAAGTAGATTATGATTCCCTTGTTTACAGGACATCCCTTCCTCAACTACACTATGTAGATTCAGAGTAGTATTCAGAAGAGTACTGATAGAGGGTTGGAGCAGGCTAACACCATTAAGGCTTCTGAGACAAGGAAAGCAGAACTGCAGGCTGCAAGAGTCACCAGCATTTCAGAAGGGCAGAATGAGTATGGCTGGGAGGAGATGAAACAATGCCCTGTAAATCTGATTTCACCCATACTGCATCTCAGCCAGGCCAGAATTAGTAATGTGCAGAATGATCAATCACTGTCACCTGAAATATTCAAGGTCCTGCTGCCTATTCTTAGGATAGAAAACAATCTAATGCTGAAATATGACTTTCTGGCTTTTGTTCATTCTATACTCTTTTAATAAAGCAGAACAGAAAATCTTGCCCTGGGCTTGGCTGGGCTATTGGGTTTATCTCCTAAGTGGCAAAGCTTCATTCCTCAGCCCAATCACCAAACAGCCCAAGTTATAAGAAGCCCGATAGAGAAAGAAAAATGCCTGTGCTGCACCTTAAGCATCAATTTACCAGATGTAATAATTGTTTTGAGAGACAGGTTTTCTCTTTATAGCTAATGGGCAAATGCTGATGACTGTACATGGCCAAGCTTGGCATATATGGCTGATGAATTACAATCTGACTCCAGCACTGCCAGCGGAGGGTGTAGAAAGGAAGAAAACAAACCCTTGGGGCATTACCTGCAGGAAAGACTCCAGCTGGGCCCCCACGTACCTTCTCCGCGTACTCAGATACAATTTGCTTGATCTCAGCGGAGCAGAGTCCCACAATCTGGCCCACGGAGCTGGCGGTGAGACGGCTCTGCAATCACAGGGAAGGTGTGTGCTCAAACCTGAACACCAAGCGGTAGAGCCAAAGAGGTCATGTTCCAGGGAAAAAATAACCTGGTCTTTGTTCAAGTATTCATCAGAAAGATCTAGATTCTTCTCAGAGCCTGGGTATCATGGAAAATCCTTCATGCTTTCTATTCTATTCCAAGGTTTCTCTTCCTGATGATTAGTAAACATAGCTGGCAGGGAACTTTGCTGTGCCTTCTCAGGGAAAAGAGTGCAAATGAAAGAGGAAGAGGAAGCTCAGAACTCCTAAAATACCTCAAAGGCCTTTTCTGTCCTAAAAAGGAATGATTCTTTCACAGCACTTGGCAGACCTTTCCGACGGACCCTGAACTCTGCGAAGAGCAACTATAAACCTGGCATTCTATTTTCTACCTAGAGAGTGTGAGGAGGAAACACGACAAGGGCTCCTCTGATGGGGTGTGACCTGTGGTTATAGAGAGGCAAGACTGAACTACGGCTCTTCCAGAGACCCTGTGGTGGCATCTCAGCACGGACACCCTGCGCCTACAGGCACCTCAAGTCTTCCCCCCAGAGGATTCTGTGGATGGCAGTACTATGTCTCTATAAAAAGCTTCCCACAAGAAAGATTCCTAGGAAACAGGAAGCACTTAGTGCCGAAAAGACCAGGCTCTCAGAAGGTAGTCCTTCTGGGAGGAAGCCCCAAAGAGCTGAGCAGGCAAACCACATCCCCAATGCCACCCCGCTTTCCCCCACAACCACTCCACCTCACCTCCTCACTTGCCATGGCAGTCATCGTGGTCATCAACGACTGAATACGCTGCTAAAAGAGGAATGGGGAGAAGGAGCAATGAGTGGATCTGACCATGTAAGACGTACACGGTATCTCTAAATAGGTATTTGTAGTAGACTCCAAGGGTCGTTTACTTTGTTCTTGTCCTATGGTAAGCCTCATGAGAAGTAAAGAAAGGAAATTGGAAAGGGTGTGACAGACCAGCTAATAGCAGCTATGGGAGGCACCTGGCCATTTTGAAAAGCTGGGGATGAAAGTGAAACTTCTCTTTGAACAATTTAAAGAGAAACCCCAGGGGGCCTACCAGGGTCACACACCTCTTCAGCAGCTCGAAGCTCATCTTCTTCATGGGCATCAGATTTTTCTGTAGCCGAAAGCCCTGTGGGAAGTGGCGTTTTCTTATCCTCAATCTAAAAGGAAAGATGCAATAACAACTGAGCACTGGAGCTGGAGATGTAGTAGAAAAAGGTCAACGTTGCAAAGAGGTGTGAGTCCATAAAAGAAAACACACAGATCTGGAGAGCTGAACCAATCTCTGAGAAAGTGTGGTAAATCCAGAGACGTGAGCTTCTATCCCAACTACAGCTTTCCAGGCCTTTGTCAATGCCTAGCTCCATTTCTGAAATGTTCACTGATTAAATTCTTACCAGGTCATACATATTTGCCAGTTTTACTTATACCTAGTTTGGGTCTGCCCCTACATTAACACCTTTAACACTGGCTAAAGGAGTGTTTTTTTCAAATTGCCAGTTGAGACCCTTAGTGGGACATGAAATTAATTTGGCAGGTATGATTAGCATCTAAATAAGTTAAATAAAAACAACAGATCAGAATCTACCAGAGTGCTTTTCATCTAGAAAATGGTTAAGTACCACTTGGTGAAACTTCTGTTTTGTGGGCCTCCCCGGTGGTACAAGAGGTTAACTCTCAGCACTATGAAACTGTCAGCAGTCACTGCAACACGAGTTCGATCCCTGGCCAGGGAGATAACCCACACGGCGCAGCAGACCTCTCCTGCCTCACCCGCTGCTCCTCTCTACAGTGGGAATGAAAAAAAGATTAGATCTGAAGCTGTAGGACTGTACTTTTTAAGACACTACTTACTACTTTAGTTAGCACAAAGGCAGTAGTTAAGAGCACAGGCTTTGATGTCATATGGACCTGGGTTCAGATTCTTAATTAAGATACTTTAGGAGCAAATGTATGGGATGCAGCAAAAGCAGTAATAAGAGGAAAATATATAGCAATAGAAGCTCACATCAAGAAACAAGAAAGAACGCAAAGAAACAACCTAATCTCGAAGCTCAAAGATCTAGAAAAAGAACAACAAGAAAACCCCAAAACCAGTAGAAGAAAAGAAATAATAAAAACCAAAGCAGAAATAAATGAAATTGAAACTAAAAAAACAATCCAAAAGATCAATGAAACCAAGAGCTGGTTCTTTGAAAAAATCAATAAAATAGACAAACCCCTAGCCAGGCTCACAAAGGAAAAAAGGGAGAAAGCACAAATAAACAGGATCATCAATGAAAGAGGAGAAATCACAACGGACACAGCAGAAATCAAAAGAATAATCAGTAACTACTATGAACAGTTATATGGAAACAAGTTTAACAATCTAGAGGAGATGGACAAATTCCTACAACTCTACAATCACCCAAAGCTAGATAAAGAAGAAATAGAACACCTAAACAGACCAATTACAATTAGCGAAATTGAAATGGTAATCAAAAACCTCCCCAAAAACAAAAGCCCAGGACCTGATGGATTTACAAATGAATTCTACCAAACATTCAGAGACGAATTAGTGCCTATCCTTCACAAACTCTTCCAAAAAATTGAGAAGGAAGGGACAATACCAAACACGTTCTATGAAGCCAACATTACACTAATACCAAAACCGAACAAGGACAACACAAAAAAGGAAAACTACAGGCCAATCTCCCTAATGAACACTGATGCAAAAATCCTCAATAAAATTTTAGCTATCAGAATCCAACAATGTATCCATAAGATAATTCACCACGACCAAGTTGGATTCATTCCAGGGGCACAAGGATGGTTTAACATCCGAAAATCAATCAACGTTATCCAACACATCAACAAAAAGAAATATAAAAACCATATGATAATATCAATAGATGCTGAGAAAGCTTTCGACAAAGTGCAACACCCATTCATGATAAAAGCCCTTGAAGTTCTTGGGATACAAGGAACATACCTCAACATCATAAAGGCCATCTATGACAAGCCAACAGCCAGTATCATTCTCAATGGTGAAAAGCTGAAAGCAATTCCATTAAGATCTGGAACAAGACAAGGATGTCCACTCTCACCATTGCTTTTCAATATAATACTGGAAGTCCTAGCCAGGGCAATAAGACAAGAGAAAGACATCCAAGGAATCCAAATAGGAAAAGAAGAAGTCAAACTATCACTATTTGCAGACGATATGATATTATACATAGAGAACCCCAAAAACTCCACAGAAAAGCTAATTCAACTCATCAATCAGTTCAGTAAAGTGGCAGGATACAAAATCAACACGCAAAAGTCAGTAGCCTTCCTATACACAAACAATAAATCTGAAGAAGAAGAAATCGAAAAGACCATCCCTTTTGTTATTGAAACAAAAAAAATCAAATATTTGGGAATAAATCTAACAAAAGAGGTAAAGGACCTATACAAAGAAAACTATAAAACACTGTTAAAAGAAATAGAAGAAGACACAAAGAAATGGAGAGACATCCCCTGCTCATGGATTGGAAGAATAAACATTATTAAAATGGCCATCCTTCCAAAAGCAATATACAGATTCAATGCTATTCCAATCAAAATTTCAATGTCATTCTTCAAAGAAATAGAAAAATTATTGATGAAATTCATATGGAATCACAAAAAACCCCGAATAGCCAAAGCTCTCCTGAAAAAAAAAGAAGGGAATGGAGGCATCAGACTCCCAGACTTCAAACTATACTACAAAGCCATAATCATCAAAACTGCATGGTATTGGAACAAGAACAGACATACAGACCAATGGAATCGAATAGAAAATCCAGAAATAAACCCACAGATTTATGGTCAACTAATCTTTGACAAAGGAGCAAAGACTATGCATTGGAGCAAAGAAAGTTTGTTCAATAAATGGTGCTGGGAAAACTGGGTCGCTACATGCAAAAGAATGAAGCTTGACCACCACCTCACACCATACACAAAAATCAACTCAAAATGGATTAAAGAACTAGACATAAGACCTGAAACCATAAAATATATAGAAGGAAATATAGGCGAAACACTACGTGATTTGCACATCAAAGACATCTTTACAGACACATCACCCAAAGCAGTGATAGTGAAGGCAAAGATAAACAGCTGGGACTATATCAAATTAAAGAGCTTTTGCACAGCAAAAGAGACAATAACAAAAACAAAGAGAAACCCCACCAACTGGGAGAACATTTTTGCACCCAACACTAATGATAAAGGACTGATCACAAAAATCTGCAAAGAGCTGATGAGACTCAACAACAACAAAGAAAATAATCCAGTCAAAAAATGGGCAGAAGAGCTTAAAAGAAACTTCTCTGAAGAGGAAATGCAAATGGCCAACAGGCATATGAAAAAATGTTCAACATCACTTGTCATCAGGGAAATGCAAATCAAAACTACCATGAGATACCATCTTACACCAGTGAGAATGGCACATATTAAAAAAACTAGCAACAACAAATGTTGGCGAGGGTGTGGAGAAAAAGGAACTCTTCTGCACTGTTGGTGGGAGTGCAAACTGGTCCAACCACTGTGGAAAGCTGTGTGGAGATTTCTGGACCTACTAAACATAGAGCTTCCATATGACCCAGCAATTCCACTCCTAGGTATTTACCCAAAGGACACAGAAACATCAATTCCAAAGAACACCTGCACCCCTATGTTTATAGCAGCACTGTTTACAATAGCTAAGCTTTGGAAACAACCCAAATGCCCAAAAATAGATGACTGGATCAAGAAGATGTGGTACATATATACCATGGAATATTACTCAGCATTCAAAAAAGATAAACACATGCAATTTGCTGCAACATGGATGGCGCTGGAAGGGATCATGCTCAGCGAAATAAGCCAAAAAGAAAAAGAAAAATACCGGATGGTCTCACTCATAGCAGGAATCTAGAAAACTTAAATAATGGACCAGGAAAATGAAAAACTATAAGAAAGTGAAAATCAAAATCAACAAAAAACTATGAACCAGAGACACTTTTAGGGGAGCGGGGGCGGGAGGGGAGGGATTGGGGTCAGAATGGGGGGCGGCAATTGTATGGGGAATATAACAATAAAATTTATTAAAAAAAAAAAAAAAAAAAAAAAAAAAAAAAAAAAAAAGATACTTTAGGAGCTATGTGATCTCAAAAAAACCACTGACCCGCTTCCAATCTCAGCTTTCTAACTGAGAAACAGTAATCTACCTTCCTCACAGAGTTGTACAGAGGAGTAAGTAAAAATAAACACATGGAGGTCCCTGAACAGGGGCCTGGAACACAGTAAAGGTTTGACATGGGAAGATTTAAATGCCTGCCCTGCTGCTAACAGTTAGGGATCATAACAAACAGCGAAGGAGAATCTTGAGACTCATGGGAAGTCCGAAAACCCCATCTCAACTTACCTGATTTTCCCACATGAGGTTGTCTCAGAGCAGGCCTGTGACTCAGGCCTGTGTTCTATCTCTCTGCCAGCACCCTATTCACACCTGACTGGGGTCTCTCATCAGCTGAGTGCTCAGTGCCATAGGAGTAGACTTTGTCTTCACATCTTTATAGGTCTTAGAGCCCAAGGATTAGACCCTGGGGCCATGACTTTCAGTTGCCCTTCACTTCTAGCCCTACAATGACTAGTGGAGACAGCAGGCTAGAGGTGCCAGCAGGTGGAGATGCAGTGAAAGAGCAGCAGCACATCCCTGCTGCCCCTGCTGTCCAAGACCCAGAGCCCTCCTATCCTTGCTGGGCAGCCTGACAGCGTCAGAGAGACCAAGGGGAGGGGGACGTCCAGCTCTCAAACATGCTCTCCCATTATTGATGCTCTCTTACCTTTTCTGTTTTGCTCTGGCGACTAAATCCATACCTCCTGCAGGCCACAAAAAAAGAGGAGTTTAATTACAATTCAAAAATCACATATATTTGGTCAAATGCATTTTGGTTAGATTTTGAAATGAAACACACCAAAGAGAAAGTAGAATATTTGGTGAATAGATGCAATGTTTGAAGTGCCTAAGCCATGATCAGATTCTACTGTTTTTGAATAAAGGCCAGCCATTCCATTTGCCATGTAAATACTGTACCTGGGAACTTTCATACAGAGTTCTCTTTAAGCGCCATCATTACTCTTTGAATTAGGAACTCACTTACCTTTAAATAGTTTATAAGGAATTAAAGTTACTTGTAACCATGTAAGAAAGACAAATGAAGAGTTTCTGTTCTTGCCCTCACGTGCCTCACTTGCTGGGTCGGCATGTGTTGGCCTCTTACCTGGCCTCAGCCTCACCTCACTCCACTCTTCCTCCCCATTCCATATCCAGCACCCCACTGGCCTGAGTTGCATTGATCAATGGCAGGTCTCTGTCCTTCTGTCCTCAGGAGAAACAGGACCTCGTCAGCACTCTCACTGGGCTTCTCCTCTATGGAGCTGTCTAACAAGGGTTCATCTTACTGCTCCCCTCCACCCACTGCCTGAACAGGGAGTTCTGCACACACCGGGCATTCTCTTCACTCCTCCCACTTTCCTCCTCCCTCCTCACACCTCAGCACCACAGTTACCTCCTCTCTAAAGCAGCCCCTATGCGCAGACACTGCCCCAGTTGACCCAATCCTGCAGTTGTACATGTCCCCTCGCTTCCCAGATGGTAATTGTCCATCTGCCATTTGCATATCTGTACACTTCTCCATGAGGGCACCGATGCCACTTGCACATTTTGTATTTGAATTGTATGTTGAAGGAATAAATTAAACATAAGCCACAGAAAATGCAAAAATCAAGAAGCCAAAAGTATCACCTTGCAATAGGTTGTTCTATGACTGGAGAGATCAAAAAGTCACTGCTGGTTCATGCGCCCGTCCATGAGGCATAAATCTACAGGCCCAGAGTATGGCAAAAGTTAAATTGAGTATCCAGAGAAATTTCATAAAGGACCTTGTATTAATCAGTAACAATTACATCTTCCCACACTAGAGAGGCTGGAAAACAACAACAACAAAAAACCCTTTCCACAGTCCCTTGCACCAAGGACTCTGAAAACTATTTAATTTTTACCTATTGCTCTCTTTTGGGAGTTCTGAATATGCAACAGCTAGATAGGAGATGGGGGACACAAAAGATTCACTGCGCTGGTGCAGATGATTACTGTAGAAGCAACTTGGTTCTGGGGCCAGCAGCTCACATAGTGGCCTCCTAATTTGGCAGGAGTGGCGCGGTTTCTTTGTCAGCAGTTAGGGTGTAACTGCTGGAGTTACACCCGAGTGTGGAGGCCGTCGTGGCATCCTAGGAGGCCTAATCCTAAGGTGAAGCTAGGGAGGTGACCCTGGCTTAACTTAGATTCCAGCTCTCAAGCCCTCCCATCAATCCCTATAATCAGTTCCTTCTGCTGAAACTAATGGGAAGGTTTTGTGTTCTCAACCAGGGCACTCTGACTGACAGAGGGTCTCACTGAGGAATCCTTGTACCTTGGTTTTGTTTTTGCTTTTCCGGGCCCTTCCTCTGTGGAGACCTTAGGATAGAAGACATCTGCTCAGGCAGAATGCCCTTTTCTAAGGCCTAGGAATTTTATGATTTCCCAAATAAAGCAATAAACAACCAAATATGAGTAATTCAATTGCATTTGGGGTCTCAGCTACTTCTCCTTAAAGACAGAGGCTCATAAGACTTTTCTGACCACCCCAAACTATGTGAGGCCCCCAGATGTGTGCTTCTGTGTTTATGCCACCAATGCACCCACCCCACAGTGCACAATAACCATGTTAAATGTGATCTGTTGAGGTCCTGGAGGGGGTTTTCTTCACTTGCTTTTAAAAATTCACTCACTCTTCACTCACTACCTTTTAAAAATTGAGGTAAAATTCCCCATTTTAAAGTGTATACTTCAGTGCTTTAATGCATTCATTATTTTGTGCAACCACTCCTACTATTTAATTCAAAAATAGTTCCATTACCTCAAAAAGAAACTCCAGACCTGTTAGCAGTTAGTGCTGTTTTCTGCATGCCAATCCCTGGAAACTACTGATGGATTGCCTGTCCAAGGGCTTGCCTAGTCTAGACATTTCATATACATGGAATCATACATCATGGGTGGCCTTTTGTGTCTGGCTTCTTTCACTTAGCATGTTTTCAAATTTCATCAATACTGTAGTACAAGTTATTACTTGATTCCCTTTTTATGACTAAATAATACCCACTGTGTGGATAAACACATTTATCCATTCCACAATTTGTGGAGAGTTAGGTTGTTTTTACTTTTTGATGACTGTGAAAAATGCTGCCATGGATATTAATGTATAGTTTCACTTACTTTTATATCTCCAGTACCTGCCATATAAATAAATACTCAACAAATGTTTGCTGGTTTGCTGAATGAATGAGGAGTCCAACTGACATTTCTAAAGATGTCATCTGCATGTGACATGGTGGTAATGTTTCCATGACACAGAAGAGCTGTGCTCAGCTGCCTATTAATCCCTGCTTCATTGTTCAATGGTCCCAGATCTCTGGGAGACTCTGCATGTGTTTGGGGTTCACCGGGAGAAACTATCCCTTTATGTCTATCATCTCTTCCTTATAAAGAGCAGTAAGATGCTTCAACTTATTCCTAACACACACGCATCTACTTCTCTCTTATCTTTCCCAGGTATGATACTCCAGCCTGAATTCTCCCTTTCCTCTTGCTTTGTCAGTCCTGAACTTTCTTAAGTGCCAGTTAATTTGCAATGCCATATGCTTCAATTTGGCCCCACCTTTCCTTTCATGAGCTCTGGCTTACCCACCCTACTAAAGTCCTACAGAATCAATAGAGCTTTGGTTCTACCCCCACCCAGTTGATCTTCTCATGCCCCAGACCTGGAGGCAAACGCCTTCTCTCATATCAAGAGGGTGAGATGAAAACAGAAGCACTGACAACAAAAGGGAGATCTGGATTCCTAGGTGGCGTTTGAGCAATTAAGGGGTTTCATCATGGTGAGGAGAGAGCGAGTGTCGGGCAGGGCGAGTCCCAAGCCAGGAGAGGAGAATCCTTAATTGATTGAGGAAAGGAAGGGAGAGGGGTTAAGACTCCCCAAAAAGGGCTGGGGGAGGGTTAGAGTAGGGGAGATGATTATACAGGGACAAGAACTGAAAGGGGACCTTCTGGACAGGATCCTCACTGGAATCAAAAGGTCACATTTAAAGGGATTTGAGAACTAAAAACTGCTGCAGCTAATGATATAGATGATGATTATGACTATGCCTAGGAGTTGACATTCACTGTTTACTATGCAGGACAAACTATTGAAAGTCCTTCATACACACACACACAAATGCTATATATATGTAAAACACTATCTCTCTCTCTCTCTCTCGATATATATATATACACACACACACACACATATATATATATATATATATATATATATATATATATATATATATAGTGTTAAATAATCCTCACTTAATGAGGACAATCTTCACACAGTGGAGAGTATTGAATAGAATCCTGGGGTAAGAGTCTGACAGCCAGAAAGGAGGGGAGGGGGTCTTCCCAAGGAGGGGGAATAAAACGCACAAGCTGAGGCTTTAAGTTTTATCCAATTTGCTCTATCAACTTTAATAATTACTCTCTTCTTATTCCGTCTCAGCCTAAACAACAAAGACTAGGGCTATTTTTCCTAAAAACAAGAGACAAATTCTCACTGGAGGCTCAAAGAGTATTTGTATGATGATAATGACATCTGGAGTCCAACAGACCTGATTCAAGTTGACATTCGGAGGCTCTTAATAGTTCTTAACAGTACAGTTGATGTTGAGTAAGCTATTTTAAAAACTTCCTTATGTTGTCGTAATCATTCTCAAAAAGGAGAATGAGCTAATAATCAGTATGTCCATTAAGTGTCCATAGCTCTACCTCTCACAAAACCACTCTCTCTTCAGCAGAAAAGCTAAAAGAAAGCAACATACCTCCTTTCATAAAAAAAATAAAAATCCTTCAACAAATTCTACACTAGAAATCAGCTGGAATTGGGACACTTTGTTCTTTCTTACACTGCAAATTTGAAAAGCCAAGCTAGACTCTGGCATCAAAATGCACAACCATCCTGAGGAAGAGCAGGGATGCTCCGAATTTACCTGGCTACCACATGTGAGAGCAACCACCATCTCCAACACATGGAAAAGATCGTTTGAAACTGAGAATTTCAAAACAAAACAAAAAACTGAATTGCCAGCTTAATCTCAGTGAAGCAAACCATTTACTGAATCTCTGATTCCTTTTCACCCTCAGGGATGCTTGAGTCTCCACAATAATGTAAATATATCAACACAAACTAACAAAATCTACCACAACCCCTGCCCCCTACCCCCCATACTCTGTGGCCTTGGCTGGAAAGGCCCGACCACAGTGCCTAGAATGTGCAACCCCATCCAGCTGCACCAGGTTCCACATTCAGAAGGAACCCACACTTGGTTGTGGCTGCTGTCTTGAAATTCTTTATAATTAGTCATTAATAATTTTTAACAATGACAATGCTTTGTCATTTTATATCTGGTCCTGCAAATTACATAGCTGGTCTGGTAGTGCCTGACTGAGAAGGGAAGTTCAATTCACAGCAGCAACTGGTGAGTTGTGGGGGAAGTCATTACACTCAGTTTAGAGCTAGAACTAACAACTTCCTTTGAATGAGATAAGACTGGATTTCATACTTAGGAAGAAAGGATCTGACCCCACAGTACCCCCTCTGAAACAGAAAAAACAAAAATAAGTGGTGATTGCAATCCATTTGAAAGATGATATAATTAAGCCAACTAAGCCAAATTTCCTTCTGGTTATCTGCAGTACCTAGAGGGGAAGCCCTCAGAAGCTCACTCAGGGAGATGCTAATGGCAGAGCCGTTAGTTCTAGCCACCTAAGGAGGGTCAGGTTGTGAGGCAGAGCAGCACACAGCACTCTTAGCACAAAGGAAGGAAGCACCAGGAGACATACTCACATCAAGGCATCAGCTACCCTAAGTAGAAAATGCAGGACATAAATGAACGTTAATACCCCAGGAAAAAATCCAATGAGAGAAGTACTCCCTTGTGTGTTAAGTAAAAACTGAGGCTGTAAGAATTTTTTTTTTTAAATTTTAGAGATGGTTTTTAGGAAGTGACAAAACTACTTTTAAATTCATTTTTCTAATCTGGACAGATTTTCACAGAAAACTAAAACTATTATTCCAATATTTAAAGCAAAACTGTTGTAACTGTTCTCAATGCTTCAGTATACCTAAAGATTTTAACAAATGGCCAAGGCACAAAGGACAAACCATCCCACTTTCCACAAATGCTTCAAACAACCCAACACCCCGAGAAGGGGAGAGGCAGTCTTTGATGCTGGAAATCTCAGTCCACAAACAGTAAACTCAGGCAGATAAAAGTCAATGAAGGTAATCCCACTGAAGCAATTGAAATTAGTTTTTCTTTTCAATGGTTTTATAAAATAGACAGTTTAGACTGGGTTGCACCCATTACCTGCCATATTCCAAAAGTGTAGCATGGATTCGCGATTCTTCGTCAAGCAGCTCCTCTGCTCCCTGTTGGCGTTTGTATTTCCGACGGGGCTTGTAAACATCCTAGGTGGATGAGGCAGACAAGGTACTGAGTGAGAAGGCTATCCTCCTGACCAGCTGCTGGACCCACACAGCCAGCCTGCAGTGCCAGCCTTCCACTGCAGCAAGGTACAGCTTTCCAGCAGAACAGCAGGCACCTGGGGGTTCCCGGCCTACCTTCAAGGAAGCAGTCTGCTCCTTTGACATTTATATTGGTAGCAAATATTTCTACCCATTCTAATGTCAAAACTGTTTTACCTTGGTGTTTTTTTGTCCTAAGACATCAGTTTGTCAAACATCAGTTTTATCTTACTTCCTAAGTGAGGGATTATGAAGAACAAAGTTCCTGTATGTTACTTTTATAGTTAAATTCAGCCTTTCAATCTATTCAGGTTTTTTTTTTTTTTTGTAGTAAGAAGTAGGGATTAACTTTTTTTCCATTTTCTGAATGGAAAATGAATAGTGCCACCATCACCAATAGTTTTTCCCTTCCCTGACTTGAAATGGCATGTGTAGGCAACATGTGCTAATTGCATCCTCTTCAATCTCTTTGGCTCTATCCAGTCTCCACTGTCTTTTTCCAAATTTCCTGGCTATTCCTACACATTTCTCCTCCAAATTAATTCTAGTATCAGCCTTTCAAGTTCATTATGAAAAACTGTGGAGGTTTAATTAGAATCACACCAAATTTACACATTCCTGTGAGAAGAACCAACACCTTTATGATACTGAATCTTGCAGAAGCAAGAAAGAAGCAAAGCTTATTTCTCCATTCAAACATTTTATATTATTTATTAAGACTTTCCAGAAAAAATACAATTTTCTACAGTTACTACATATCCAGCTCTTTCTATTACAGAGAGGCACAAACCACAGAGGCACAGATACATGTTATCTATCTATCTATATGTTATCTACAGATATCTATCTATCTACTCAGAATCCTTAAAAAAAAAAAATCCTTAAACAGTTAAGGACATTTCAATTCTTAGGTTCTACAACCAGAAAATTAGATACCAAATCCTTCCGAGATATGAAATTTTTATAAAAGTGATATGAATTTATCCTTAGATAAATGAAAACCAAAAATGCACTATAATCTTTCACTAATTTTTTAATTAGAATATGATTTAGTTATGTCACAACAAATGTAGATTATCTTGTATAAGACACATTCTGACACTATAAATGTTTGTGTGTGTGTGTGTGTCCTAAACAAAGCACAGAGCATGTAAGGTGTTCCATGAACATCTTTACTCCCATATGACCTGACTTGTCATTCTACAACTGAATGTCTTTCCTGACTGCCAACTTGGCAGTCAAATAATACCTTAGTGATATCTGCTCAGGGCTCTGGGTACAAGTTGGCAGCTATTCACGCAAGTTGCTTCTCCACTACCAGAGTCCACCACATTTAATTTCCACCAGACATCACCAGGACAAGCATTACTGTGTTATTTCTCTGGTGACATTTTTATTCAATTAGAATTGTCCACTCTTTGATAATTCTAATTAACTTTACTTAATTTTACTTTTTATTATGAAAAATTTCAAACATATCAAAAAAATTCTTTCTATAACATAACTATAATAATCCCAAGAATTCTGTAGAAAAGGAATGGAATATGGTCTGAAAAAATGCTGCTAGACTGTTTTTATAATTTGCTGCCACAAATATTCCCTAGTTTGCTGCTGGTGTCTACATGAATAAGAAACTCTAAGTAACATAAAATAGATTTATGGGGAAATGAAAAATAGAATGAACCCATATGACGTCAGTTACTGCGTACGATTTAATTTCCATTGAGCCCCACTGTTACAGCAGTACTATATAATTGAGCTTAACTGCTATCTTCCTTAGTTACCATTGATAGAGTCAATGACCCAAGACAGAAATTGGATTCTTCTAAAAACAGGACTGACTCCAAAACAATAGCAAGCTGAAACCAACAGTACAAGGACCTTTTATTCTGCCAAACAATGAAAATGTTGGCCTTTGTGTAATTACTCCTTACACTTTAAAGCAACTCATATACACCTCACCTTTGGCAGATGATAACTATACTGCAAGGCAGGGGCAAGCAGTGCTATTACCTCCATATTACCTCCACTTTATTACTAAGAAGCAGAGAGTGAGTCGTTTCTCTAGGATCACTGGGAGGGTATTAGGCCCAGTCCTCTGCGCCTGATCTTAGGAAAGGCAGTTCCTCTCAACAGGTCCATTTCCTGAGCCCTGGCTGCTAGTCCCGAGGCTTTCCCACTGCACTATATTGTCCCTGGTGGATGTTCTACTCACCAGTCATTTCAGCTGAACCCTCTCAGGAGACTCACTATACAATCTAAGGCAGTCATGTGGATTACTGCAATACTTTGATTAATAGGGACCTAAATGACAACCATAAAAAAAAATTATTGCTATCACCCCTTTAACCAACAAGAGTTAGGTTATCTAGTCCTGTCTCCACCGCTAGCTAGTTGTATGATCTTAGGAAAGGCAGTTCCTCTCAACAGGTCCATTTCCTTATCTGTAAAATGAGTGTTGAACTAATAGATATTGGATACTCCTAGTGTCTCATCCTTGGTGTTCTTTTAATCTTGCGAAGTTACTGACTTGGTAACACAATTCTATCAGTAACTTAAAGCTTGAGATTAATAAAAGAGAAACACCTCATGCTTGATATATGATTGAGCTCTTAAAAAGGTATGCAGAATCAACTTATCGTTTGTCATCAACAATGGGAACCACAGAAATGGCTATCATGTACTGAATACTGTATGTCCAGGCAGATACATACTCCTCTATATGGGTGCTGCCCATTTGCTATTTACACCTCTGAGACTTGTTATCCTTGTTCCATGTATACAGATGATGAAGCAGGCACAGAAGTTAAATAGCTTGCCCATAGTTACAAAGGAAGTAAATCACAAAGACAGAATGACTCCAGAACTGGGACTCTGCAGCACTCCACAAGACGTTTTATACCTCAGCTTTCATCACTAGTCATGGTGGGTTCTGATCATGCATCTCAGCAGATGCCAAAGGACACATGAGTGGGGATAAACAATGAAGGTGACCCTCCTGTAAAGCAAAGAACTCCTGCATCTGTGAGAATCATGGATGGCTACTTCAACAAGTTGGATTATGAGTGAGATTAAAGATGGGGAAGAGCAGTGTAGGGCACAGCCACAGCAGCGTCTGCAGCAAAGCCCTGATCCCTGGCCCCTCATGACTACTTTCTGAGACAACAGAGCAGGTAGTGCAACTGCTACTACCGATTTGGCATTCTCCACTCAAAAGCTCCCTTGGGCCAGACCACACCCAATGCAGTAGAAACTGACATTCTCCAGTAGTTTCCACAGACCCTGACATCTCATTCTCACAGGGTTTAATAGCATAAATCCAACTCTAACAGATACACCAGCCTGGGAGTCCTGTGAACAATCTCACCTTCCACGTAAAGAGGGGCCACCAAGAGCAATATCCTGAGAGATCCCATAAGAAAAAGTTATTAAGTGGGACAGTTTGCTGTTTGATTCTCAAATTAATGGAATAACAAACAAAACAATGTCCCTAGGTATTGAATGGAGGACATGATACAGGCTAGATGCATGGCAATCTTTTCTGTAGAGATGAACATGTCTATAGTTAGGGAAGATAGCTGGGAGAGAGGGTTTTCTCCAAGGGCACTCTCAAACACTCTCAAACCTTCCTTCTCTATTCTCTATATGAATTCTGTTCTGCAGGCATGTCTCTGTTCTCTGAGGTCTAGTATAAGTTCTACCTCAGGTCTCCTTGCGTCTGTACCAAACAATATAACTTGGTGGATAACAAAAAGGTCTCTGTGTTATGTAAGTGAGCCAAAGACAACTTCTATATGTTGACTCCTTGGTTTATTTCTTCACAGCAGGCTGCTATTAGCCTGCTACTAGCACCAAATTCAAAATTTTTACACAACCAATTATTTCAAACGTAGCCCAAAATGGCAGAATTTTAGTCCTTTACAAACTCTATGGAAACTTCATCTAATACTTGCTGGCCAGACAGGATAAATTCAAGTTGCTGATGGTGCCCTGAAGATCTCTGAACCAGAAACTCCCTGCTCTCTGCTGAAAAACAAAACTGAGGCATGTGAGCCCCCACTGTGATACTCTGGGAGGTTCACCTTCCCTTTCTGGATTGTGCCTCTTTTGCCTAAGCTTCTGGATGGTCCCATGCTACAGAGTCCCCTCCCTTGCAAGCCAACCTGTCAAAGCACCAAAGAAAGCCCATGCATGCCACCACGAAGGCATGGCCATAGCTTTTACCTGATGAGCCCCCAATTCCCTTACAGCTGGTATGTCACTGCTCTCCCCTCAGCTCCTAGAAGGCAGTTTGGCACACAGGGAGTATGCAGTTACACTGGTGAATGAACACAGGCAGTCAAGCAGATGGGGTTTTAGTCCTCGCTCCAATATTTACTACCTGTCCAAATTGGGTGAAGTTACTTTAACTTTTGGCTTTCCACCTGTAAAACAGGTGTAAGAGGAGCTGTGAGGATTAACCAACTGACACACTTAACAGTACTGACATGGAGTAAGAGTTAGGACATGGGTTTTTCACATGCATATTACGTATATGTTTTACTACTAATAAAGTGTACAAATATTGTTTTACTTATGTCCTCAAATTCACGTTTTATTTGCTAGGTGAAAAGGGTGTCCTCACAGCATTAACTATGGAAGAAACACTGGAGCAGTGATTTTAAGTGGCATGGGTGATTCAATTCACCAGTTAAGTGTCTTAGGTGATTCAATTTACCACTTCAACAAAGCATTTCCTTTCGACTAGACTAGAAGCTCAAAGAAGTCTTTTCTGTGTTTGTTCTATTTTCTATTCTCATTCAAAATTCTAAACATTACCCAAAAATGCTCAAGCAACAGTAAATGCGTATATGGATCCTCTAACCTTAATGCACAGGACAGATACTTCATGATTACAGAAGGCTGACAGCTCAGAAAAGGCGGCAGTGAACTGTATTACCGCATATCAAGCAAGACAAATGAACCATTATGACTGTGATTCAAGACCTGAAGGTGGTAAGAGGTGTCCAGCCTTCCTGGGTGGCTGTAATATAGTTTTCCTATGTCCTTTGAAAATACCACCTCCTTCAAGCAGGGCTTCTATAAAGCAGCTAGCTATTTTGTAAAAAGGAGGTATGCAGAAGTCAAGAAAGTCACACATTTCAAAGAAAGCAAACTTGTTGAGAACAATTACTGGGGGAAAAAAAAATGATGCCAAGACAAAAAGTGAGCATCCAAAGTGATGAGCTCAAAAGAGAAAGTTCACAGCCATCTTTCTGTTTTACAATCTTGAAGGAGGTACTAACACTCTTCCCATGACCTGTGGCCCAATTCTATTTTGTGGAATGCATTTTAAGTAAATAATTAGAGATAAAATAAAAGACTTAGCTTTGAAGATGTCCTACATAATGGCTAGAAGGAAAAAGAAAGACACAACTAAGCTAGTTAAATTAGTACCACAAATGAATAATCTAGTCACTAAAAGCACTACGGAAGTATGTTCATAGGCATGGAGAGCGCGCCTCCATTATACTGATGAGCAAAACGAGCAAGCAACAAAATACTACAGAGCCACATTTTGTGACCTTAAATTCTGCATACTGATAGACATAACTGGTTTTCCTATCTGGAGTATCGGTGCTTAACTCTAGCTGGTGGTATCATGGGTGGTTTAGACTTTGCACTTTTTCTCCATTTCCTAATTTTTCATCATTATTACTACAGTACTAATACAGAAGGAAAAAGAAAATAACTTTTTTAAAACAAAACATCATGTGCCAAAAAAGCCAGATAAATGTGTTAATAACCAAATACAAATGCAAAGAGCTGGCATCGTCCTCTAAAGATGCCTAAGGACATGAATAAGCTAAATATTTTAAAAACTATTGAAAATGTTTATTATTTAACTTTTAAAAAAAGGTTCTAAGTAATACTAAAAAAGACATGCTGGTTGAGACATAATGGTGACATGTAAGAGATGAAATGAGAAGATAACACGAAAGCCTCCACTAGGCATCCATTCTGCAGCCGGACAAGGGGCCTTCAAGTGGTAAGGTCAAAGCAGATGTCACCATAAGGGTCTGAAGATGGGGAGAGGGGGAAGGTATCCAACTACTCTGATTACTTTTGAGTCTCTGAGACCCAGATGGATAACAACCCAGAGTCCTCAAGTAAGTCATGAACATGCTGCAAAACTGATGCCAGGAATATGTGCAAAATCAAAGACCCGGTGAAAAGTGAGAGGTTCTAATTTTACATCTGACTCCACAAACACAGCAGGTGTTGGTACTTCTCCAGTCATAGCCCCTGGTCATTTAGGAAAGATATTATTCCCTTTACTAAGGGACGGGTCTTCTCCTTATATTACAAATAAGTGAAATAAAAAAGTCTATCACAGAGCTCCCCATACAAAACTCAGAGACTACTCTGCCTCTCCAGGCCATGTGGGGGTGGGTGGTTACCTCAACTTACCATCTCCAGTTCATTATCTGTTCTTTGTACCTATTCAAGGTTTACCTGCTACTGGCAGACATGAGAAAGGATTTGAAATATTTCTTCCTTAAAAGTGAAACGAACAAAACTCCAGGGCAGTAGTTGTGGCAAGTTCTACCCATGAATGCTGGTGTCCTGGTACTGAGCACAAGAGGCAGGCAGGATCTCTCACATCCAAGGCCAGATCCTGGGTAACCCCAGCAGATGGAGACCTCAGGGAGCAGTCTTTTGATTAAATCAAAAGCCCACTGGGAAGCTATGAACCTACCTCTTGTACAGAAAAACATGGGCAGAGGAACTTACTGAGAGATCAACCACTGTCTTGAGGGCCTTTTCTTTTCTCTTCATGAAGTCATCATCCTGCAAGACAAAATACAGGGGTTAACAAATTCTGTATGAAGACTGAAACTCAACTGGACTGCTCAGAAATCTGCCTTATAAATTGAATTCTCATCACAACTCTGGTGGAGAAAGTCTCAATTTTCTCAAAAATTAGGATATATTTTGCATGGGAAAAAGCTGTAGGGCCTCTGTAGAGGGCTCCAAAACAAGTCCCTAGAGTCAGTAAGAAAAAGGGGGATCACAGAGTGTGGTGCTGAAAGCAAGAGTTCTCATTCCAAATCCTGAACTCTGAAACATCGAGCAAGTTACCTAACCTTCAAGCCTCAGTTTTTCCATGTGTAAAACAAGAACAACACCTAAGTCAGGGGAAAATCCTCATAAAGATTAAAGAGCAGATGTGCTAGAACTGGAAGGTAGCATTTGATGGCTATCAACTATTACTGTTGCTGTTGTGGCAATGATTTTTAAGCTTACTACAGGAATATCCTAGGAAGGTGGTCTCTCGAAGACTTTTGCTTGGCTATGCAAAAATAAACGCGTGTTACAGTTTAGTAAAGATCTGGACGAAATAACAACATTGAGAGAAAAGCACAAAACTATAGGTTTTTACACCCAATACCCATTTAAAGAGGCAGTTCTATAATGAGCCATGAGGCCCACTTTCAATGCTGACCAGACAGAGGCAGAGATGCCAAGAAGAGGGGCAGGACTGTAATGGAGGCTGAGCTCACTCCACTCCTTCCTGGGAATCTCTAAATGCACACTCAGCTTCTTAGCCAGAAAAGAAAAGCAGAACACTGACCTCAGGCAGACTGTAGGTTTTCTGGAACTGGGATATGGAGTAGGAGCGGATGTAGTCACCCATCTCTTCTTTAGTTTCTATAGCTCTCTTCACCAGCCACTGGGGAAGAAAGTTGAGAAGTAAGAATTGAGAGCAAAGAAATGCCATTGCAGTGGAGGCCAACTCTGAGATGGCACAACCTGTGAACCCAAATCACGATATGTGAACTGATGAGATGCTAAGAAACTAGCAACACACACTGTTCCACTGTGACCAGTAAGCATCTGTAACGCTAAGATCCAGTGGTGCCTGGAGCAAAGCAGCTGTGTGAGAGCTTTAAAGCCTCACGTCAGAGCCTTAGGTCTCAGTTTCACTCGCTGTGTAAAAGGTGAGAATGTCAGTCCCTTTCATGTCAGAGCAAATGAAATCACAAGTACAAGAGTGCTTTGTAATACCTGATAATACAACACACAAATTAGCCTTTCCCTGCAACCTCCTGATTCTACTAGCAGATCTTTTTTTTTTTTTTAAATGCACTCTTACGTTCATTGGAGCAATCCTTTTTTTTTTAAAATATATACATCTCTATATATTTATCACATCATCCTTCATTTTTGTATTATGTATGATTTCCCCTTGAAATTCCCACCACCAATTCACCCGTTTACCATCATCATAGTCCCTTGTCTACTAGTAGATCTTAATGTAATTCTTTTTTTGTTTAATTTTCATTTAAGTAGCAGGTCTCATGTATACAACATTCTCATTCAATTCCTGTGTAAACTACACCGTGACCACCACCAGAAGTCTAGTTTCCACTCACCACCACAGACCTGACCCCTTTATCTGACCTATCTACCTCCATCTCCCTTCCCCTCTGGTAGCCACCGTTTTGTTTTCATAGTCTAAAAATCTGTTGTTATTTTTTTAATCTTCCTTTCACATGAGTGAAAGACCACATGAGGTCTTTCTCCACCTGATTTATTTCACTTAGCACAATACCCTCTAGATTCATCTATGTTGTTTCAATTGGCAAGATTTCATCTTTTTATAAACAGCATCCATTAGTCAAGTGTTGATTAACTTAACATTCGGGTCACAGTGGGCCACAGGTATGATGGTGGTTCCAACAGGCTGGACCACATGGCCTAGGTGCGGCACAGCCACACCATCTAGATTTGTGCAACTACTCTATGATACCTGCACAAAGACAAAAATCACCTAAGGATGCAATTTTCAGGATGTACCCCCATTTCTAAAAGATGCATGACTGTTATTTATCACATATCCTTTATTCATCCACTGATGGCCAATTAGGTTGTTTACAAATCTTGGCTATTAAAAATTATGCAGCAATGGGGCCTCCCCGGTGGCGCAGCGGTTGAGCGCTGGGTTCCGAAGCTGCCCGTGGCCTCTGAGGTGCTGATTCGATCCCCAGCTGCTCCCCGGCCACCGGAGGAGGGTCCCACATGGCGCGCAGACCTCTCCTGCCGCCCGCTGCTCCCCTCAGCAGTGTGCTTCAGTCCTTCTGCCTGCTCTGCTCCCCGCTCTGGCTCTGGTGAATTCTCTCACCCTCCCGCGTTTCTGACTGTACCCAGTGCTTGTATAAACAAAACAAACAAACAAATAAATAAATAAAAATGCCTCTATAAAAAAAAAATTATGCAGCAATGAATAAAGGGTTGGATGTATGTTTCTGAGTAAGTGTTTCTGTATTCTTTGGGTAAATATCCAGAATGGAATAACTGGATCATCTATCTGGTACTTCTAGTCTTTAAATTTTCGAGGCGTCTTCATACTGTTTTCCCTAGTGGTCATACCAGTTTAATGTAACTCCTTCCTGTGCTGCTTGTACTATAGACCAAAGAAAAGGTCTGAGAGAAATACTAAGGATACCTAGTTAATCCCTCATTGGACAGATGAAAAAAAATCTCCAAAATATTCATATATGAGAACAGGGTGTACTATACACAGCTCTAGGTTTTAGGTAAGTTTGGCATTCAAAATACTCTCTCTTAATATGCACAGATTTATAAGGAAATTGATACTACTTGTGCTTTATAGAACCTAAGGATCAAAGAGAATATATAATTTGCCCATTGATTCATAGCTAGCAAGCCACAAAATTGGACTCAGAACTTGGAGGTTCCTTTATAGAAGAGTAAACAGATGGGTTTTATGAACTGTTTCCCAATCCTACTGGGCTGATATGCAGAAGTAGTTGCTCTTCCTTTCTCTTAAAACTAGGTAATTAAAACACACATATACACACATCAACAGCCCATAATCTATAGAAGATCCAGGTCCTCTGAGGCTAAGAATGCAAAGTACAAAAGCAGCCTTAGCTTCTCCTTCCTGCCTCTCTATTCATTCCTTTTATTACTGAAGAACATTATGGAGGGGGATGCCATCTGCCAGGGCTGCCATTCTCTCTTCAGACAGTCCTATACCATCTCAGTTTTGGGATAGTAGTTGTGTTTCCCTGAAAGTGCAGCCACACTTGGGGAGGTTTAGCTACTGAGAAAGTAGAGACATGGTACACAGCATGGCAGGGAGGGAAGAAAAGTGTGTTCCCAGAGGGCAGCCCGCTCAAGGAAAGTATGTATTTAGGACGTAATTGCCCAGGATAAGAATGGTAGCTTATATTGTATGAGGAATATTCTTTTGTTGTTAGTATCTTTCCTTTATTTTCACCCCATTCCACCTTGAAACAATGACTAAATTTCACAAGTAGGGGCAGAAGATCAGACAGAACTACTGCAGCTCCTCGCCCGCCTCTCCATCCCAGCACCACAGTCCAGGACAACTAAGGAGGCTGACTCATTGCTCAACTCAATTCAGTGTTGCTGTTGCTTGTATCTGGATTGGGAGATCCAGTTTCTGGCTTTTCATCCTCGTTTCCTTTTCAGGTCTGCCTGAGTGAATGAGAGCTACACTGAGTTATTACTGGACCCTGAAGAGTGTGCTCGGATATGGAAGGTGAAGCCCGTGGAGGCTCAAGATTCCCTTAAAAAACAGATTACCCTGCTGCAGTTTCTGCATGAAGGACAGGAACTGCCCTCTTTTTTTTTTAATAGAGGCATGTTTATTTATTTATTTATTTGGTTTTTTTTTTTTTTTTTTTTGTTTATACATGCACTGGGTACAGTCAGAAGTGCGGGAGGGTGAGAGAATCCACCAGAGCCAGAGCGGGGAGCAGAGCAGGCAGAAGGACCGAAGTACACTGCTGAGGGGAGCAGCGGGCGGCAGGAGAGGTCTGCGCGCCATGTGGGACCCTCCTCCGGTGGCCGGGGAGCAGCCGGGGATTGAACCGGCACTGCAGAGGCTGCGGGCAGCTTCGCAACCCAGCGCTCAACCGCTGCGCCACCGGGGAGGCCCGGAACTGCCCTCTTGGGTGATCACGCTTTGCCATGGGTACCTATATTTGAGGAAAATGCCTCCTATCATAGGATTCGTTAAGTCCCACATGGAAGAAAGAGATATGACCCAGAACTATCAGTCATTGCACATGAGATCCATTTTCCTTTTGACTGGCTTTCAGAGATTGTTACCAAAGCTTTTCTAAGTGGTAAGAAGATGGTGATAGGCCTCTAAAACCATGCAAGACAACTAGTTCAATGGTTCCCAATTGCTGGCCCGTGACTGTTCACTGACCTCCAGCAAAACAGAAAGAAATTACAGGCATGTAGCAAATTTTTCATAATGCTGAATGTATTCAATTTGAAGGATTGTACATTATTTTGAGATTGGGGATTAAATGGCCTTTCTCTTAGGAAATAACAGAGCAAGCATGATAGTAGTTACTTTTTAAAATTTCCTTGTAGGGCAAAATAAAGATGTAACCAAAGGCCAACCTCCATTCTAGTTTTAAAATTTTACAGGTCTGTGAAATGAAGAAATCTGATAACTGCTGAGTGAGGTTCTCACAATCAGACAGGAAGCCCTCCAGCATTCCACTCAACATGGAACACCCTCAGACACTCAAAATGCCCCCATAACTCCAGAAGATCAATTTCTTCTCCATCATCCTTTCATATCTGGACTAGATTTTTGTTCCCAAAGTTCTAGCACAGGAGGAGTAAAGTCTAATCACTAGACAGCCAGGCTTTAGGGGGGAAGGCAACAACTTCACAGCATGCCAGTGTTGAAGGTTTCAGTAATAATCATCCAGGGTCCCTACTCCTGTTTTCAAAAAAAGGATCAGATACCACCTCCCTGCGTCTGAGAGTCAAAGTATAACAAACATACAAATCAAATACTGAGGTAAAGTCTCAGTCTCACATTTACAAATTTTAAGTTATTTGATTTGAAGTTGATTGTGAAGGAACATTCCCAGGATGAGTAATAACAACAGCAAAAACTGAATGTATGTAACACATGAAAAACTTACTAAAGTGTTCCATCTATCAACTAGATGCACACACATTAATTCTCATCCTGTCAAGTAGGTACTATTATTTTTACTTTTTAGCAGATGAGGAGGCATGTCATCCGCCCAAGGTTACCCACTGGAAAGTGGGATAGTCAAGACCTGAACACAGGAAGTCTCCAGAGTTCATGCTCTTTACCCCTACACTATATAATCTTATCAGAGAATTAGAAAACTTTTCTAGCAAGGGCTATGCAGCTTACTTCTTACTGGCTTTGTGAATGGTGGAATGGCAACAGGGAGTTTAGGCTGGCATCTTTGTTTCTCCACTCACCAGTTCTTTGCCCTTAAACAAATCAACTACCCTCTTGGAGAGACTTTCCTCACATACTGGGACTACATCAGAGCCGACGTGGTGAGAGGCTCCCACCAGACATTTAATCATCAAATAAAGACTGAATGACTAAAATTCTGTAAGTGCTGGACACACAACAGTGAGCAAAGACATTCGTGGGGCTCGTGCCTGAAGCTTACAGTCGGCTAAGAGAGATGAATAAGCACACACTTGAATGTCTATGGTCACGAACTTCAGTAAGGAAGATTTCCAGAAGGGAATGTGGCTGTATAAGTAAACACAGCAAAGACCTGCTCTAGATGAGTGGGTTGGGGGAGCATTCTCAAGGAGGTTTGGTGGAACTGAGGTCCAAAGAAGATGTCAAGCGAGCAGGTAAGGAGAGGAAAATTTTCAACCTGAGGGTAAGTTCCTGGGAAAAGAAATAGCCTAAGTATGAGGAGACCTGAAAGAAAGATGGGTTACCAAGAAAGAACAAGGACAAGCAAGGAATAAAATGAAGCTGCTTAGGTCAAAAGGGTCCACAGCAAGGCGGGGTTGGGGGAGAGGACACGTGGAATTACAGCTTCACTAAAAGAGCAATGAAAAGGAACTAATGGGACTTTTTCAAAATCCTGACAGGTGACAGTATGAAACTAGGGTAGACGCCATTCCTTGAGGCCTTTTGAAGCTGTTCTGCTGCTATCAAATCCATACCATACCCATGGATCCAGGATCTAGGCCAGATGGCCTAGGAGTCAGACCCATTACAGGAATTCTAATAGAGGACAAAACACCACACTGAAGACAAGAAACCACAGGAGGCTCTTACCTGAACAACAGGAAATATATGAATAAAATCCATCCCCTGGATCTGGTGGGGCTCCAACTGGTGTGGACATTTCATCCTTGGCAGGACTGAGACGATTTTTTCTGACAGAGCTCTGTTAGGAGAAGACAACAAGCAGAGGGTGAGAACACACTAAGTGGCCTTAACATGTCTCTAGTCTGGGCAGAGGCCCAGAAAAATTGAGGGCCTCTCAGTGCCAGATCATGACCAAATTTCTCCTGGTTGACTACAAAATGAGAAAAATCACCACAATTTAGGGGTGTGTGTGAACATAAGGCACAAAACTGCCTTCACCCTTTAAATATGCTCTTTCTACTTTATTTCTTGATAAAATTATCATGTTATGAGAGGTAGTAGTTGTTATTTCTAACATTTTTATATGGAAAAATAGTTATCAGTCCCCCTAATTCTTACTCAAAGAAAACTTGTCTATGTTGTCTCTCTACAGTTCAATAATCCTTTCTAGGCGCTAGATAACTCTTAAGATCAAAATGTGGTGATGGTCATGATAGTCTTACCACGTTCCCCTGAGGTCTCACTCCCTCGGTCTTGGTAAGAACCAAGTAATTTAGAGACAAAAACGAAATGGCTGCCATGGGACAGCTCCCAGAGAACACAAGTCAACCCCATGCTTCTATTTGGAAAAAAGTTTTACAAGGTGAGAACTTACCACATGAGCTGAACTGGTTATATCAAATGTCAAGTATAACATGTTAAGAGAAAGACATGGAGAGAGGAAGACTGGTAGCCACCACACACATTTACAGGAGGAGGGACTATCCAGCTCCCCAGAGGGAAGCATGAGGGAGATGTATCCTAAAGGTCTGAGAGGTAGAAGGAAACTGTCATGTAGTTTTAAGCTGCTCAGCAGTCCCTCCTTTCTGAGCACCTGTCTTTGGGATTCATTTGTCTTTTCTGCCATGAGATGTGTGGCTTAGCATGAGGGGGGTGGAGGGAGCCAGTGGTTGTCCAGCTCTTTCTGGGACTTAAATGGGACAGTTCAGTAAGGAAGTATTAACTAAACCACCTTGTGACATATTTATGGCTTTCTCTCCGACAAGTTTAATTTTTTATTTTGATCTTCATCAGATTCACATACCTTGTTTCTTATTTGAAACTTGTGAGGAGAAGAGATGGACCCTTAATTAGCTCTGCTCCCCACAGTCCAAACTGAGCAATGAAGATGATCACCAAGCTGGGCTCTGCACCCTTGCTCCGTGCAGGTCTAACTATTTGTACATGCAGGGCCACTGTTTCTCACCGTTACCTTCTGGTTCCATGGGAGAAAAGCTCCCTCTAGTGGATGCAGATCCATGGGTCTACATGGGGTTACTGATTGTCTAGAACCATTCACTAGCTCTAAAACAAGAGACTGGGGCCCTGTACCCTGAGATAAGGTTTTTCTAGGCCACTCACTACTCAGATATGGCTTTCTATGCCAGCTCACAAAGGCCCTGAGGGAAGGTTGTTGAGGATCACCCCAGGGTTTACAACCCTCTTAAGCTTACCTCCCAGAGATTACTGCTAAGTCTGCAGTCTCAGCAGCAGTTGGAAACGGCTGAAAGCACTTATATTGCCAAGGACTGCGGAACTAGAGGGAACACTGGCAGGCTGGGTGCCAGGAAAAATCAAGAAGACTTCTTGCAGAAATCTAGCAGTCCCTATTTGACTTCTCTCCCTATAGCTCAGGCAGGAGCCTCTGACTTTCTGAAAATCAGAAAAGTAACTACTACTGAAGTCTCTGCAGGCAGGTCTCCTGGTCTAAGATTTTAATAGGCTCACTCACAACAGCAAGTGATTGATTCCTTTAGTTTTAAGAGTGTTCAGTGTGCTGTTTCTGCAACTGCAAACAGAGAAAGGGTGAACTGAACCAGGGTCCAAATTCCAGCTCTGTCACTCACTCTAAGACTTTTGGCAAGTCACTCGACTCCCTCTAGTCCAATAGTCTCATTATGAAATGGGGGATAGCCCCTCCCCTGCTGATTCAAAGATTGTTGTGAAAGCTAACTAATAAAATGCATGTGCAAGTACTCCACATATAGTAAAAGTGTGATATTTAAACTCAGATATAAGACTAAAATCTCATTTATGGATCTCTGAACATAGGCCCCTTTAGTAATGGGGCTTTAAGATATGCTGGAGACGAATGGCAGAAGCAGATGGAGTCCTCAAGAAAGAAGGATCAGGAAGACAGCCTAAAAGAAAATTATGCCCTCACTAGTGAACTTCTTAGACAGCGCTGCCTGGCTACCCATTACACCAACAGGGATACACTAAGGCACCCCACAACATAAGGCAGCATTAGTCTAAATTGCACCTAACCAAAAGCTTTGCATGGAGGAACTTCAAACACAGAACACATCCCCAAACCAAACAGAAAAGAGTTTTGGATAACTCAGTGCCCTCTGGCTATGACTTTCCCCTCAGACAGTAAAAACCCAAGTGCACTGCTGAGTCTGGTGGGTCTTTAGTCAGGAAACCTCTGTCCCCAGCTTTGCCCACAATTATAGTTCATGCCTCCACACTTAAAAGCTATACATCAAACACTTACTTTAGAACATAAGAGATCCTTAATCCTTTATTAAAACCCTTTAGGGTCAGATGGGGTTCAGAATTCAGGACTTTTTCTTCAGAAGTTTCTATCTTTGTGTTATCTAAGGGGCATGTACTATGTGTTATGCAGGATCTTGGTGTAATCTACAGCACACCTTGTAATCAAAGAAATTAACATTTCTGCAGCAAAACTGCAGGTCAGTGGGATCAATAAAGGCTACGAATAGTCTTAGGTCAGTTCAGGTCATGTTTTGCTTCCAGCTAAATTTTGTACTCATGTTTGGGAAAAAAGGCTTTGGTGGTGTTTACATTTCAGAAATATAGATAAGGGATTAAAAACCCATATAAAAAAACTATGCTCCAATATTCTGTTAAGAGTACTACTGCACCAAGGTGAAAATGGGGCCAAGAGCCATTATAAAAGGCAAAAGTAATTTCAAAAGAAAGATACACAGAATCTAAGAAATAGTAAGGTTAGCCCAGAAAGAGATGTGCATCAGAAGTGCCAAAGGGATAACAAGCAATCAGCTCAAAGTGGAACAAAAAGATACTTCAAACAAGAGTATCCACAAGAAGATCATAAATTCCTGCTAAGTAAATAAAATGATTGAGAAGCTGGCTGATCTTAGCTATCGGTAAAGGAATGTGCTTCTTTGTAAACAAGAAAAGAGCAATCAGAAACTCAAGAAAAAAATGCTGTATTAATACATAATCTGATTATCAGTGACTCATAGAGACCACCTCCATTTGTTGGGAGGTGGTCAAAGATCTTGAAATCATCCTTGACTTCCCTCTTGCACCCAAAAACCAAGAAAAACCTCAAGGAAATTCTGTTGGCTTTACCTTCAAAATAGATCCAGAATCCATCACTGCTAGCCCACTGCCCTAATCTCCTACGTGGATTATAATATGCTAGTGCCTGCCAGCTTCCATCATCATCCTCCTAATTCATCAATCTCTGGATTCCTTCTAAAACAAAATAAATATTGGGCTGTTGGAAAAGTCATTCATAGGAAAATATGTCATGACTTTTCTGACAACCCAATATTATGCTCCTCTTCTACTCAATACGCTCCAAGGATTCACATCTTGCTCAGCATAAGCCCAATGTCCTTTTCTTTTCTTTTCTTTTTCCACTGTCAAATGATCCTTTATTGTGATTTTCCTTGATTTTTCTTAACTGGCAGGGCATTCCACTGCACCGCTGTTGATGTCATCGATGATGTTGTGAGAGTGGCGGCCATCAACGTTGCAGCCCACGGACTGGGCGGTACCGAGGATCTCTTTAATGGTGCCAGAGAGTTCTCTAGCTAAAGATTGGTGTCGCATCTGCCGGGCTATGCTGACAATCTCGTCGAACGTGATATTCCCACTGCTTCTTCTGCTTCTTCCAGTCCCTCGGTGGTTCCTTGAGAGCTCTGATGATGAGGGCAGAGGCTGAAGGTACCACCTCAATCTGGGCCTGTCTGTTTTGAATGGTGAGTTTCACTGTTATCCTCAGTCCCTTTCAATCACCAGTTGCCTTGGCAATGTCATCACCGACTTTTTTTGGAGACAGACCCAGGGGTCCAATCTTGGGGGCCAGGGCAGACGTGGCACTGACTTCCCCACCGGTGCACTGCAGGTATACAACTTTGACTTTGTTGGGATCGAACTTAGGCGGCATGGTGGAGGCGGCTGGTGTCGGATGAATCCGGATTCGGGACGACTGAAGAAAGTTGCACCTTGGCCTCCTCCGAGCTGAAAGCCAAAAGCTTCTTTTTTAAAAAAAATTTATTTATTTATATAAGAACTGGGGTACAGGTCAGAGGTGCAGAAGGGTGAGAAAATTCACCTGAGGCAGAGTGGGGAGAACAGGCAGATGGACTGAGGACACCGCTGAGGGGAGCAGCAGGCGTGACAGGAGAGGTCTGCCATGCCATGTGGGTTTCTCCCTGGCCGGCCGGGAATCAAACCCACGCTGCAGAGGCTGAGGACAGCTTCACAGGGCAGTATTCAACCCGCTGCACCACCAGGGAGGCCCAGCACAATGTCCTTTTCTGACCAACAAGACCTTGCCTGGTCTGGCTCCCGAAACTTCTATGTGCTTCCCTCTTACAGCTCCCCCTTCTCATCCAGTCCAGGCAACCTTGTTCTGGGGGCCCGTACACTGATAGTTCTCTTTGCCTGGACCCGTTTCCCCCCAATCTTGGTTTCCTTATCACCTTCTCAATGAGGCCTCCACTGACTTAATTTACAACCACCACCTATCCTTTATCCCTCTTCCTGCCCTTTCCCAGCTTTAATTTTCCCCATAGCACACTATTCTTCTAAGTATTATTTATTTATCAAATTAGCTCTTTAAAGTTTGTCTCCCCCTAGACTATAAGCTCATGACTGCAGAACAGTTTTCGTTAATGCAGCCAAAGTACACAGAACTATGACTGATGCTATAGTAAGGATAAATATTTGCTGAGTGAATGAATAAATGAAGAGAAATTCCATTGGATTGTGATATTTTGAATAGTTTCCTTCAAACCACACCATTACTATCCAGAACATTATATTTTTGTTTCCCTGACCCCTTCACAATTCTTAGTTTTTACCATAAACACAATTTATAGATCTATGTTTTGAATCTACCTACAGGTAAAGTATGGGCAATTTAACTATTAGAGAACAGATACTACACCCTGAACATCACAAAAGAAATATTATGATGGTAGATGGAGATTGAAAGATAGAAGGAAAAGCTGAGACACCAAAGGTTTTACTCCATGTAGTTTGGAGCCAGAAGAAACTATCTTATATTAATGGATCAAGAAACAGAAGCTTGAGTACATTAAAATTATACAAGTGATCAATGAAACCAAAAGTTGGTTCTTTGAAAAAATAAACAAAATAGACAAACCTCTAGCCAGGCTCACAAAGAAAAAAATGGGAGAAAACATATATAAATAGGATTATAAGTGAAAGAGGAGAAATCACAACAGACTCAGTAGAAATCAAAAGAATAATCAAAGATTACTATGAACACTTATATGCAAACAAATTCAACAACCTAGAAGAGATGGACAAACTCCTAGAACAATATAATCATCCAAAGCTGGACAAAGAAGAAATAGAACAACTAAACAGACCAATTACAAGCAGCAAAATTGAGGCAGTAATCAAAGCACTCCCAAAAAACAAAAGCCCAGGTCCAGATGGCTTCACAAACGAATTCTACCAAACATTCAGCAGTGTATAAGTGCCCATCCTACACAAACTCTTTCAGAAAATTGAAAAAGAAGGAATACTACCAAATACGTCTGCAAAGCCAACATTACACTAATACCAAAACCAAACAAAGACAGCACAAAAAAAGAAAATTACAGGCCAATCTTCCTAATGAACACTGATGCAAAAATCTTCAAAAAAAAAATCCTTGCCAACAGAATCCAACAATACATCAAAGGGATAATACACCACAATCAACTGTGATTCATTCCAGGGGCACAAGGATGGTTCAACATAAGAAAATCGATCAGTGTAATCCAACACATCAACAAAAAGAAAAATAAACACCATATGAGCATATCAATAGATGCTGAGAAAGCATTCAACAAAGTCCAACATCCATTTATGATGAAGGCCCTTGAAATTCTCCGAATAGAAGGAACACACCTTAACATGATAAAAGCCATATATGACAAACCCGCTGCCAATATTATTTTCAATGGTGAAAAGCTGAAGGGGGTGCAGTGATAAGCCTAGGTGGGTTAATTTCCTCCTCACATTAGACTTGAATGAAAGTATACACATGGTTGGAGATGTAAGTGACCACACTGAAGAAATGAAAATCTAAACAAAGATGATTCTTTCCGGGGAATAAAACTAGAGTGTAGAATGGGGAAGGGAAGGGATATGAGCTGCATATTTTGTTCCCTCTGGTGGTATTTGAATTTTTTTTGAACTTGATGGTTGCAACCCCTATATAACAACAAAAACAAAACAAGAATAAAAATCTACTTCTGGATTCAGCCTGACCAGCAGAGAACAGAGCCCCCACCTGGACTCTACCACACTGCCTCCTAGGGAGGGACTTCTCTCTACAGGTCTCGGGATGCAACACCACAGTCTCAGAATGACAAATGTTAAGATGTAGAGCCCTGTTATTTGTGGCTGGGCATCCATGAGCGTAGTATCACTGTGCTCACAGTATGTACTCTAATGAGGAGTCGAGATAAGTCTTTTGGTCTTTATATTCTCAGAACTTCTGCAATTCTGATGCAACCATTTTTCTTACTTTATAGAAACCATGAATTGGGCAATTTGTCTTGCTTTTCTCTTTTTGTTGGCTGCCAGAAAGATTTGAGTCAAATTTATGTAATAGTTTTATCTCCATCTCTACCTTTTGTCTCTTTTTTTCCCTTTTTCCTTGCTTTGCTTTTGTTTCTTCATCTTTCCATTGTTATTGCTTCCTGCATTTATTTGTAAACCATCTTTAATCCTTTCAGAAGTATTTTTTCTTGGGGGGAGGATAAGGCTTCAGAAAATAAGGTGATGATAAAAGAATAAAAATCTGAGATTTTAAACTCTGTTACTTACAAATAAGGGATCTGAGATTTGCCCAAGGTCACACAGTTGTCCACTGCCAGAGGGGGAAGAAATGGGATCCCAAATGGCCTAATGAAATCACCAAGTCCTGGTGGGGGTTATGGAAGACAAGGTAGGGTAACTTGACCTCAGCAGGAACTCCAGCAGGAGTCCACGCTGCCTCCTCCTAATGACAAACAAAGTGAGGCTCTGCTTTACATGGGGTAATGGCGAGGGAGAGTCTCCTTTCCTCACCCTATTCCATTTCCCTTCAAATTAGCTTCGGGATGAGATACACTAAAAAGTCACCAGAAACTTCAATCAAGAAAAACTATTAAAAATAACCTGAATATAAAATGACATGTATATGCTAGTTGTATGACCGTGACTCCTTTCGGTCTCAATTTCATAATCCATGAAGGTAAGAAAATACTCATTTGTGAGTCTCCCCGGTGGCGCGGTTGAGCTCCGTGCTGCGAAGCTGTCCACAGCCTCTGCAGTACAGGTTCGATTCCCTGCCAGCCAGGGAGAACCCCACATGGCGCAGCAGACCTCTCCTGCCTCACCCACTGCTCCCCAGCAGTGCTTTCAGTCTGTCTGCCTGTTCTGCTCCCAGCTCTGGTGAATTCTCTCACCCTCCTGCGCTTCTGACCTCCTGCGCATCATAAATGGATGTTGGACTTTGTTGAATGCTTTCTCAGCATCTATCGATATGCTCATATGGTGTTTATTTTTCTTTTTGTTGATGTGTTGGATTACAATGATCGATTTTCTTACAACGATTGATTTTGAACCATCCATGTGCCCCTGGGATGAATCCCAGTTGATTGTGGTATATTATCCCTGTACCCTGGTTCTTGTATAAAATAAATAAATAAATCTTTAAACAAAAAAAAAAAAAAAAAAAGAAAATACTCATTTGTAATGAAGTAATCTAAATAAAGTAAAGTAAAGAAAATAAAGTAATCTAAAAAATTACAAAATGAAATATGCAAAGCATTCAGTATAACCTTTGGCATAGCAGGCACTCAAAAGTTAGCCCCTTTTCCCCTTTTAGACTTCTCCATGACAAATCCTATCACTTACATTTTTTGACCTATTGTAGAGTTTTCTTGAAAGAGCAAATCAACATCTACATCAAAGTTGCAAGTGGTAATGCACCAAGTCATTCCTCCCACAACCTGTAAAATACAAAGAAAACATTTATTTTCTCTTTCCAGTTTGGGGTGCGGGTAAGAATACAGATAAACTATACATAGTTTGCACAGAACCAGTAAACACAAAAAGAGAGTATATGCATCCTGATTCCATCAATAATAAGCCATCTAAAAATAGCAGTGCTGAGTGAAACTTTCTCCATTGTCCAATGGCTACTAGGCACATGTGGTTACGAGCTCTGGGAATGGGGCCATGTGACTTTTATTACTAGATGGATATATCATATGTAGATCTTCTATACAGTGAAGGGGACACAGATATTAATTCTCAATCAAGAGAAGTCTTAACCCAGTTTCAGGCAAGTGCCAGATTCCAGAGGAAATAAGTGTTTTATGGCCTAAACATGTGAATAGCAAGACTGACATTTTGTGGCTCATTACTTAATTTCCACACATTTTACTTTTTTTCATCTACCTGCTATGAATCCCTGCTCTACGTTTCTCACACAATTTCTCTGAGCTGCAACTGAGACTAAGGCTAAAAATCTATTTGGACGCAAAAGCCTTTCAGACATATCTTGATACCAGAAAAACAAAAATAACAACAACAACAAAACACAGTGACTCTTTTATCTCTGGCTTTGCTGTAGACTCAAGTGAGATGGCTGGAAAAATAGATTTCAATCCCCAGCCCAGACCAAGTAACCAGAATTTTGATGGGCAAGGCCCAGACATCTGTATTACAAAACAGCCCACAGCGATTTCGTTATGTGGCTCAGCAGAGCATTGGCGCACACTGGATCACTCAACACTTTCTTCCACCAGGAAGATTTTTTTGGCCTGTCTTGTCTGATTAGGATGCTTCGATTCTGTGCATGGTTCACTGACAAAATTAACTGCATAATGACACTTATTTTATGTGTATAGGTTTATTTGTCTCTCCCACTCTGAAGACATTGTGTTCTTGGAGTATAAGGGCTTTGTCTTTGTGCTTTCAATTCCTATTATGTCTTATGCACATAATTGTTTAAAGTTCTACTGAATTAAAAAAAGACTTCATCCCATACTGACTATCCCGCCTCCAAACTTAGTATTTACCATTCAGAGTATATCAGGCACACTGACTTGGGACAGCTTCTTATTAACTCATATTATTTCATACTACAGAAGTTTTATTGCCTTCAAACTAAATTTTTTTTTTTTGTTTCTCTCATTTACCAAAGTTTCATGCATAGTGAAGAAATTCAAAGCATATTATTTTCTTTTAATAGAAAATCTGAACACTTCCATAATGAACCTGAATTGGAGAGAATGGAAACATGGACATGGAGAAAGTAAAATACAATCTCTGTCTCCTTCCATGGTTTACCATGCCATCCTGACAAAGAACACCCTAATGGTAAGAAAGATTTCCTCTTACCTTGTCAAAAGGAGACAAGCCTTTAATTCTTGCCCTGAAATAGCCAGCAGCCACCAAGAGCTCCAGAATTTCTGTCAACTTGACATTTTGTTCTTCATCTTCTCTTGTTTCTACCTAAAACAAAAGGTAAAAGTTAAGCTGATAAAAGCTGCCTTGAATACAAGAACACAAGGTATATTCCCTGATGCTACAATCTCACTGCCAAGGAGCAGATGACACGATCACTGCACTCATGCAGGAACCTGGGGACATAGTTCTGCAGAATCAAAAAGAACTGGGTCCCTAATCTTTAACCAGTTGTTAATCATCACAGTACAAACTATTCATCAGACACTGAAAGAATCCAGAGAAAGGAAGATTATCGCACAATACCTCCCTGTTTGCTAATACACAATATACTTGACAATCTTCTCAGCTAGATTTTAAACTCCTAACAGATAAGAACAAGTTGGGGGATTTTTGTTTTTAATTTTATATTCATCTTGGTCCCAGAAGTCACTGACAAGAAGAGCAAGAACAAAAAGGGACTTCAAAGAAGTTTCCTTCTCTGCCCTTCTCTTTTTGATTTCTAAAGCAAATAAAAAGACTTTCAACCCATATAAACTAGTGGGCAATTACATAACAAGATTATCTTAATAACAACAAATTTAATAAATATGATCATATAGGAATTTTAAGTTAAAAATGTTAACTTATAACCCACTTTCACTTCCAGATGTATTTATATTAATTAATACATTAATTAATTAATTAATACTAAATATTCTAGTACTTTTGACTCCATTTACTTTCATGAACTATGCTCTCTCTTCCTCCATTCCTGCAGAAAATCAAAAACTACCTGGCTCTAGAAAATAACCGTTAATTTCTGCCCTGTTAATTTGTCTTACTCATTACTTCCTAAATCACAGCTTTCAGGCTCACCACATTGTCCTCATGTAAGGCACTACCCATAATATGTAAGATAAATGTCAGTTTTCTCAGTTTGGCTTCAGATCTTTGTCCACAACTTATCTTTTAAGCTTCATCCTTTACTTCCATGCTCTACCCACCAAAAATCCAGACATGGCTATGGCCAACCTAGAAAAGCACTATTTGATCCCATTTTTTCACTGTTCAGGCCCCCTCCCTTTCTCCTGATATTCTCCAACCACCAGAAACCATCTTCAAATTCTAGTTCCTATTCGATGGCAACCCTGACAAATACAGGCTGACTTCATCATTCCTCTGCAGTTCTTTTTCGTTTATAGCATTCACAGTTCAGCCTCTTCTGAGTGACATGCCTCAAGTTAACATACATGTCTGTCTTTCCAAGTGAACTATTAGCTGGTTCAGGAGAGGAATCATATATATTATTCATCCATGTTTACTCCTCTGAAGCAGCACTTGGCTTAAAAGACACACTCATTAAATATGGAATGATATGCACCATCATTATATAAAATGCGTGATCTAAGTCAGTCATGGATTAAGAATGTGTTTTCAGGGCCTCCCCTGGTGGCGCAGCGGTTGAGCGCTGGGCTGCGAAGCTGTGTGCAGCCTCATCAGCACCAGTTCGATCCCCGGCCTCCGCCGGGCGAGGATCCCACATGGCGCACAGACCTCTCCTGGTGCCCACTGCTCCCCTCAGCAGTGTACTTTGGTCCTTCTGCCTGCTCTGCTCCCCGCTCTGGCTCTGGTGAACTCTCTCACCCTCCTGCGCTTCTGACTGTACCCAGTGCTTGTATGAATAAATAAATAAATCTTTAAAAAAAAAAAATTAAAAATTAAAAAAAAAGCTTAAAAAAAAGTATGTTTTCACAGTCATAAAGCTGATAATGGAAATTTAAGTTTATTATGAAATGCAAACTGTTGAGAGCAGGCATATACATTAACATATAGTTGAACATGGAACTAGTAAAGTGACTAATAATCCCGTGCAATGAGGGATGGTGGAGGTAACAACCTTGAGCTACTGCTTATTCCAGTTCGCTCTCAAATGACACTGGTCCAGTCTATCAGAGATTGTGAAGGATAGCATTCACTAGGTCCTAGTGGACATGCAAAAAATAAAGTAATATTAATTATTCACGCCTTCCTTCTTTGTGAAAAATCTGGGATGGTTCAGAAATATCTGCACGTAGAGAGACATAAAGAGAAAGCAAAGAGCTGTAAGATTCACAAAGATAGAGAAGAAAAGGGAAATAGAATGATACAAGTATTTTTTGTAAAACTCCTGGGCTGTGAAACAGGAAACCTTCATTTGTTTGACCATCATTTATCATGAAAACACCCCCAACAAGACAGTACTTTACAGAAGGATCATATCTGTCTCAATTTGAACCTAATGGCACCCACTAGCCACCCTAGGGAAGAAAGATGACCCATGCTTCTTGTCTATCACCCCCAAATGGAAAAGGGTACTTTTGCAAAAGAACCTGTGAAATAACTTTGGCAAAGCATACTGACTGGAAAGTATTAATAAGACTCCAAATTAACTTCACAGATTAACTACAAGGAATGGAAGAATACTGTCTTGAAGCCATAAAAAGCCACCAGGGTGGCCAGGGTGGCTAATACATTGAATCATTAAAAGACTGATAAAATTCTAATAAAGATAACTGTAGGCTCTTAAACCAGATACTCTAACTCTTCAATTGCCCTGTACTATACACATAATGTAAGCTGGAATGCTAGGCCAGGATGACCTACCTTTCTCTACAGCACATACAGTAAAGGGTTTAAAAACCCTGATTTTAATGAATTAACTAGCAATAACTTAATGACACAGACTATCCATATTCATATACACTGTTCTGAATAATAAAAATTTGATTATATTCACCCTGTCTGCCTCCTAATGCCAGGAGCCATCTTAGGCTCTTATCAGTCAGAAAAGAATTAACACAGGACACAAGAAGTAAGTTGCTTTTTATTTCAGAAAAGCCCTACTGGTTATACTATGGGGCGCCAAATAGCAGGGGTTTAAGGTAGAACCCGGGAGACCAGACAGAAATCTACAGCAAAAGGCCCAGTGAAAACCTGATGAGAGCCTAGAATAAACAAGTGGCAAAAAAGAATCATCAAATCAAATTTCACACAACATATCCTAGTCTTCACAATCCTGCGTTCCATCAGAGCAACTTTTTCACCCCTTGTGTTTAGGGTTTTGCCTAAAACAAGGGTTCTGAGATTACTTGTTAGGTTTTCGTAAGATAACAAAATGATCTTGCATTCTACGACCACATTTCGATCTCTGTCATGCCATAACTAAATCCTCAGCTTTTATTCAGAGAACAGTGATCCCTCAATTACTACTTGTGGGATGAAAGAACTGCGGACTTGGGGGTGCGGCCAGACTAGCACAGGCAGCTCAATACGAGGACCACTCACCATGTCCAGGAACAGTTAGTCTCTGCCAAATGCCTACTTCAGAACCTTCAGAGAGGGACAGAGGTACAGCATGTATTCCATTTCTTTCATGCATCTAGTAAACTTAACTAGCTTCTGAGGACACCAACTGGACAAGAGGATACGCAAACCACCTGGCCAAAGACACTGCACGTTCCCGCCACTCCACGCCAACGTGGAAATCCAGACACCACCGACTCTCCTGCCCCACCAGCGAGTGGGGGACCTCCCTAACACCTTTAGAAGAAAAGCTCCCCACTATCTCCTGGGGAAGCAGCCACGTTTCGCCAGGGGCTTGGTGGCCGCACCCGGTCCCCACAGCGCCCCAGGAGAGCGCGTGGCCACCCCGAACCCTGGTCACAACCAGGCGCGCGCTCGGTTCCCAAACTCCCCTCTGCCGGCCCGGCCCAGGTGGGGGGTACAGGTGGGACGGCATTCCCAGCCGACAGCAGGCTGGGGCGGGGGGCGGGCCCCGGGCAGCGGCGGCGGGCGCGGCAAGGTCCTCGCCCTTTGCACAGCCGCAGCCCGGGCCGCCCCAGCGCGCGTCTCGTGACTCCGGGCGCAGCGGGCTCGGCCCTCGGGGCGGCCCCGCGCGCTGGGGGTCCGGGGAGACTGCCCAGGAAAGCGGCAATGGTGGGGCCCCGGGCCCTCCGGGCTGCGTGCAGGCAGGTACAGGGCTGGGCAGGCCGACCGGTCCCCGGGGAACCCGGAGCCGCCGGTCAGCCTGGCCCACGCCCACCCGGAGAGCCGCGGCGCCCGCAGCCGACCACGCCGGAGCGCCCCGCGGGCACACACGGGGGAAGGGGCAGGGCGCCCCGAATGCAGCCCGGGCCCCCCAGCCTGCCGCCCCGGGGCTCGGCCCCTGCTCGGGAACCCCGACGCGCCAGGGACCCGGAGTCCTCACCTCTGGGAGACCCTGGCCCTCCGGCCCCTTGGGCAGCCCCATGGCTGGGTCCGACTGACGTGCAGCGGCCGCGGACCGTCGGGGCGCGCGGAGGACCCGCGCCGGCCGCGAAGCTGCTACCGGGCGGGGCGCGCAGCGGAAACTCCCCCCGACGACGCCGCCGCCAGCGCCAGCCCGGAGCGCCGCCGGCCGCGCATGCGCGCTGAGGCTGAGCTCGCGCCGCTGCACTGCGCCTGCGCGGAGCCGCCCCGGTCACGGCCGGGCCGCGCGGGCTCCGAGTGGCAGCGTTTCTTCCGCTCCGGCCGGGCCCGGCGCTCTCTGCGGTTGCCCTTCAGGGCGCTCAGTTTTTCTGAGAGATGCTTTGTTAAAAAAAGGGGCTGCTCCTGTATCTTCAGGGGATTTTTCCTTCGGGCACCAGTCTCTGCTGTTCACGGGCATCAGTCTCTGCTGTTCACGGGCATCGGATGCCCGGGCGGCTTCCAGCCCCGAGTGGGACTTGGGGGCCGGCGCGTCCCGATCACGAAGTCCGAGCGCGACGCGCCCGGGGACCCGGATGAGGGCGGCCTCCGGGCGCGCACTGGGGGAGCTACCCTCCCCCCCCCCCCCCCCCCCCCCCCCCCCGCCCTCGAGCCGGTGCGTCTCATGCCCTAGGAAAGCTTATGTGGATGATGGTCTTGCCCCCTGCCCCCTGCCTCCCGCACCGCCGCCCCAGCCTGTCTTTTCACGGGGAAGGTCATCTCTGAGAATTTGGAATTGGTTCAGGCATTTTAGCTGCCACATCATTTACATGATGCTCTCCTTCTCTGTCCTGGAGGAGGGCGCAAAACTGCCTCCCTGGCCACAATCCCAGCCGCTCCACGCCTCCACGCCCTGTGCCAGCTGCATGGAAAAAAATGACTTGTGAAAACTTTGACTGTAGAAGAGAGTCTTGTGTGTTGGGGAGTGGGGTGTGACGCTAGAAACTCCTTGAGATCAATTGTGTGTGTCTGTGTGTTACAGGGCAGGGAGAGGGGCAGCCCAGACCCCGCAAACCTGCCTGCTCTACATGGGTTGTGCCATCCGCTGCATCAACACAAAACACAAGACTTTAATGGGAAGGAACTTTAATACCATTAGGAAACAATACAGGAAAGGCAAAGAATCTAGTTTCTAAATCAAGCACCCAAAGCTACCTGTCCCTTTGTGGGTAGAACTCCATCCAAATGGGATTGGCCCAGAGCAAGGCCCCCAAAGTCTGCCACAAGACTAAAGCATCTTCCAGTGGGGACCCACAGAAAAGGGTCAGAAACAACCAGACAAGTCTGGAAGGAAAAGAGCAAAATCAAAATCAAGACAAAAACTGCCACTGTCACCTCCCCACGGGTCTCACCCACATCTGTGTCACCCATTCCACGACCAAAAGGCAAGTGTAGTTTCTTCACGTGTCTCTCCGCTCCATGTGCTTCCTCCAGGTCTCCTTCTGGCTCCATCCTGCATCCTTCCTCAGTCTCCTCTGCAGCTTCTTCTCTCTCTGCTCAGCTCCACCCTCCTTTGGGTGGGGCAGGAAACCTGGAACCTCCCCCTTTCCTGGGGACCACCCTGTTACTTGTGTGCGTTCCCTGCATCCCTAGCATCTTAAAAAGTAAGATACTTAATATAAATCTTTGTTCTTGAAGATATTGTTTGCCCCTTTTGTTCTCTCTTGGAGTTTATCCTAACAGAACAGAGATTTCTCTGGAACCAGAGTACACAAATTGGAACATCTCTAAGAACAGCCATTTACTTCTTAAATGCAGTCAGCAAATTAATGCAGAACTGTGTACCACTCCCCACTCCTACCCCTACTCCCTAATAATTTCAGAAATTTGAATTTTCATCTTACAATGTTGAGACAGGTATTCTGTTGTCCAAGTTGTGTGACATCTTGCTCTCATCCATTGTAAAGCAAATGAAACTCAACTAGAAGGTGCCCACTCTCATAACTTCTCAAATATGTTATTTTTGCAATCCTAAAATTGTCCTTTCCTGAGATAGTGTAGCATAAGGGGATATTGATGGTGATACTTTCTGACCCTTTTGGGTGAGCACACAGGTATTAATGCCCAGGGACAAGTGGCAAAGTCTCACCTAGTAGGCAAGCATAAATAGCTGTATATAAAGCAGCCAGGGGAATAGGGCCTGAAAAATAATAGGACTCAGGTAGGCTAGGAGGCCCTTTTGTAAATGACTTTGCAATGTTTTAAATAAACATGAGCAGTTATCTTTCCTAGTAAGAAACTGTCCTGTTTTACTGTCTGTATTGAGTGACAGTAGCAGAGCTGGGTTACCATCATGCTTTCCCCCTTCTCCCCCCAAAGATCCCAGCAAAACAACTCTGGCAGCAGTTAAGGAAGTTCACGATGCCTGTGTTTGATAGAGGAACCCTTGCACAGCCTTGGAGAAGACTTTGAACAATGTCAGAGAAGACTCTGTCAGATAAAGTTATGTCTCTTCCTTTCCCTTAGCTCAGAGCACCCAGACGCATTTTGTCTACCTAGTGAATATTTTTGGATTGAAGGTCATTCTGTCCCTGCTCTGCAAATCCAGCACAGAGCTATATGCTGGTCTTCTAAGTGCAAGACTCTCAGAACATCACAAATACTTTCTTGAATAAAAGGAAGCCACAATAAAGAGCTCCCTGCTGGAACCACCTTTATTCTAGATGATGTTTTCTATAAGGCCTCACTCATCCTGTCCTTGTGATTCTCAGCTCTTCCACTCTGTGGAAGGCTCTTGCTATTAATAAAAAGGTCAATGGTGAAGTCTTTTTTTTTTTTTTTAATAGAGGCATGTTTTATTTATTTATTGTTTGTTTGTTTTTTTGTTTACACATGCACTGGGTACAGTCAGAGGCGCGGGAGGGTGAGAGAATTCACCAGAGCCAGAGCGGGGAGCAGAGCAGGCAGAAGGACCGAAGTACACTACTGAGGGGAGCAGCGGGCGGCAGGAGAGGTCTGCGCGCCATGTGGGACCCTCCTCCTGTGGCCGGGGAGCAGCCGGGGATCGAGCCGGCGCCGCAGAGGCCGCGGGCAGCTTTGCAACCCAGCGCTCAACCACTGCGCCACCGGGGAGGCCCCAATGGTGAAGTCTTGAAGCAGGAAAGGACTTAGAAGGCATCTAGTGCAATTATGAGTGTTTGGAAAAGTAGAGTGACACAGTTTAGGTCCCATAGCATGTTTGTGGCAGTACTGGGCACCAAAGTCCCATATTTATGCTGGTCACAATGTCCTTTTGTTTATTCATCATCCATCTGTCCATTCACAAACCTTTCTGAGTGCCTTCCATGGTAGTGGTTCTTAAACTGGGCTGCACGTTGTAATTGCCTGGGGAATTTCAAAAGCTATCAAATACCTGGGCTCTACCCCCAGAGTTGCTGATTTAATTGGCCCACAGAGAGGCATAAACATTGAATTTTTCACTTGGAATGTATTGTTTTACATCTACATAAAACAGAACAATAACTTCATTATGATTATGTTTCTTTATGGCACACTAAATTTAAGATCCATAAACTAACTAAGAATCTATGTTAAATGAGTTCTTCCTGAAAATTCTTAATTGTGTGCTGGTCTAGTCTCAGGCAGTAAAATTTTACAGTGCAACATCTTTTATTTAGCGTGTCACATTTTTATAGTAAAAACGGAAGCCCAGTGGGTGAAATAAACCTAATAAGCACTCTACTTCTGCTTGCAATGCAGTACCTGAATGCGCATGTGCACGTGAGCGTGGACACACACACACACACACACACAAACACACGAGTTCTTCCAGTGCATTTTCCCAAGTAAATGAAAGCTATTCAAGAATTCCAACAATTTCCATAATTTTCTTGCCCAAACTGTTCCATTGGAAAAGATTTGAGAAGGGTTCAACTATATAATAACAAGTAAAAATTCTTGGCAATATATGCTGTGTTCTGTATCTCCTAAATAAAATGATGGCCTAAGTTTTCTTGATAAAGTGATTTAATAATTAAACATTTCTTCTTTGGGAGGGCAAGTGGATTTTTGAAATTTCACAGGCGAGTGCATTGAGCCAATTTGAGAACCCTTCTGCTCTGTGCCTGAGGACAGTTCCTGGTTGTCAAGATATTGCAGTCAGCAAACCAGACAAGATAATTACCAACAGAAATTAAACATGGAGATTAATAAGACAATAATGGGTAGGATTAAGTGCTCTTCAGAAAAAAAAAAAAACAATGTAATGTAATAGGGAATAGATGGAGTTAGAGGCTCTTTTAGAAGAAGGGATCAGTCAGTTTAGAGTTCTCAGGTGCCATTTGAAGGGAGACCTAAATCCCAAGAAGGTATGGTGGGAAGATCTCAGGGAAGAACATTCTAGGTAGAAGGAGCGTCAGAGTATGAACAGCTTCCCTTTGCCCCTCAAGACCCACTCTCACCCCTCACCTTGCTTGCTGCTGCTCAGCGCTGGCTAGTGAGGCTTTCTGAGCAGGGTCTGGAGGATGGGCATCTTGGATATGAGGATTAGGGGTGGGTATAAAGTATAAAGTCTCAATAGTAATTTGGCAAAGTGTATCAAGAACATAAAAGGTATCTTTGGATGACACTCCAACTTTTAGGATTTATGTACAAAGATCTTCATGCAGTCTTATTCATGAGAGAAAAACCTGGAGCTTATGTAAATAGTCCGTAATAAGGGAAAGGTTAAAGGCATTATAGCATACTCATGTGCAGCAACATCTTGTAGCCAGTAAGCCATGCTGGCTCAGTGGGCCATGAAGGAAATACTAGCAATATCTGCCTGTCAAAAAGCATTGAAACATTTAAGACAAAGTGCAAAAATATTCATTATCTGTGACAAGAGTTCTTACAAATGAAAGAAATTTTTAATAGAAAAATGAGTAAAGTTTTAATAGAAAAATAAAAGGAATAGAGAGTTCCTGATAGAAATTGTCACTAAATGAATGAAAGATGTATTCTAAGCCTCACATTAAAAAGTTAAAATGAGGTACCTTTGCATAGAAGAAATAATTGTTTTTAAGAGCTTTATCTAATGCCATAGCACTCCTTAGTCACTGAGTAAAGTTATTTATAAGGGGTCTGGAGGCAAAGTTAATTTTTCACC